AAAAAAAAAAAAAAAAGGTGGTGGTTTGAGTCCACCCAAGGACACCCTGGAAGAAAGGCTTGGCGATCATCAGCTTCTGAAAAATTAGCCATTGAAAACCCTGTGGAGTACAGTTCTACTCTGACACGCAAGGGGTCACCATGAGTCAGGGCCAACTTGACAGCAGCTGGTTGGGTCCCTGAGTGGTGCAAACCATGAACATGCTTGGCTGCTAACCAAAAGGTTGGAGGTTCAGGGCCACCATGTGACGCCCCCCCTTTCTGTGTGACATCCCCCTTCTTGTGTCCCCAGGCAATAACTGCCCGTGACTCCATGGCCAAGTCTCTGTATAGCGCCCTGTTTGACTGGATCGTGCTACGGATCAACCACGCCCTCCTCAACAAGAAGGACATGGAGGAGTCTGTGTCGGTGAGTGCCCCCACCTGCTGCAGAGCCAGACAGGTGTACCTCCTGTGACATCAGGCCAGGGTCCACTACCTCCCACCATTAGGCCCAGGAAATAGCCCCTGCTTCATGATTTGGGGGACCTGGCTCAAATGAACATGGGGGGTCCCACAACTGCTTAGGTCACCGCCCACTCCCACAGAAGAACCTTCCAGTAATCCCCACCATCTCTGTTTCCACAGTGCCTCTCCATTGGGGTACTCGACATCTTCGGCTTTGAAGACTTCGAGAGGAACAGCTTTGAACAGTTCTGCATCAACTACGCCAATGAGCAGCTTCAGTATTACTTTAATCAGCACATTTTCAAACTGGAGCAGGTAAGAAAGCATGATCTAGGTACCTACCTAGCCCCAGGGGAAATGGAATGTTCTGCAACAGGGAAGTCCCTCAGGGCCCATTGGTGAACTTGCCCCAGAATTTCCCTCTTGCTGCTGCATTCTCTCCACAAAAAGGAATTTGGGAAAACCCCACCCAGCCCAGGTTGGGGCAACCGATGGGTATGTCTTCGGCCACAGATCAGTCCTCAACATTATCTTTGCTCTAGAGTCCCTGGGTGGCAGAAATGGTTAAGTGCTCAACTAACAGAAAGGTTGGCGGTTTAAACCCACCCAGAGGCACCTCAGCAGACAGGCCTGGTGATCTGCTTCTGAAAGGTCACAGTGTTGAAAACCCTATGGAGCAGTTCAGGGGCAACTAACAACAACAACTTTGCTCAAATGTGCAAGTCATTTCAACTGGACAGACCAGAGCGGCATTTGAGGGATTTGCTCTGGTCGATGATAACAATTATCTATTTTACATGTCTTTTCTGTGCTAAATATGCAGGCATCTTTACTCATTTTTTATCGTTCACGGTGATAATTCTGACGGGAAAAAAGCTGATGGATTTATGTAAATATTTAACTGATTTTACAATTAAGCATTAAAGTATAACTGTCCAAATTGAGATGTGCAGAAACTGTTAAAAAAAAACACCAGATTTAGTAAACTTGTTCTTGTTGTTAGCTGCCATCAAGTCAGCTCTGGCTCATGGCGACCCCATATACAAAAGAACAAAACATTGCCCATCCTGCACCATCGTCAGATCACTGGTGTAGTCAAGTTTGTTTTCACACCCACTATGTATTTTGAGTGCCTTCCAACCTAGGAGTCTCATCTTTCAGCACTGTATCAGACAATATTCATAGGGTTTTCATTGGCTCATTTTCAGAAGTGGATCACCAGGCCTTTCTTCCTAGTCTGTCTTAGTCTAGAAGCTCTACTAAAACCTGTCCATCATGGGTGACCCTGCTGGTATTTGAAATACTGGTGGCATAGATTCCAGCATCACAGCAACACACAAGCCACCACAGTGTGACAGATGGCTGGTGGTTCGAAGACTTAATCTGGGGGAGAAAAGAACGTGCGTGAAACGTCTCATTGATAATTTTTTTATATTGATTGCATGTTGAAACGATAATACTTTGGCTATTTTGGGTTAAATTAAATATATTATTAAAATTAATTTTTAAAATTAATTAACGGCTAAAAATTGTTTCCTTTTTTTTTTTTAATGTGGCTCTCAGAAAATTTATGGGGCAGTCTTGGTTCAGTAGTACAATTCTTGCCTCCCATGCGGGACACCCAGGTTCAATTCCTGGCCAATGCACCTCATTACAGCCACCACACATCTATCAGTGGAGCCTTGTGTGTTGCTGTGATGCTGAGCAGACTTCCACAGAGCTTCCAAACTATGACAGACTATAAAGAAAGGCCTGGCGATTGACTTCCAAAATCAACCAGTGAAAACCCTATGGATCCCCTTGGTCCAATTTGCAACTGATCATGGGGGTGGCACCAAACTGGGCAGTACTTTATTCTAATATGCCTGGGGTAGCCATGAGTCAAGGGCCAACTCCATGCCAGCTAATGACAACATTAAAAAATTTTTAATCATATAGGTAACTTGCATTATATTTCCATTGGACAGCGCCTCTCTGAATCAGGGGTCAGCAAACTATGACTCAAAGACCAAATCCAGCCCCAACTCCTGGTTTTGTCTACAAAATTTTATCAGCATACAGCCACGCCCGTTAATTGACATTGTTAACGAGCAGAAATTAAAGCAAAGAGGTTTATTAAGGAAGAAAACAATTCACAAGGTGGGAAATACAGGGTTAGGAGGCTGTCAACACAGTACTCCACTAGAGACCACGGAGGGTTTAAATATTAAAATATGAGGAACTAACAGTAAAAAATATTCTGATTGGCTAGCTAAAGTAAGTTCTTCTGATTGGCTGTTTTCAGTAAATCATTAAAGACATACCCAGGCAAGTTTCCTGTGTAAGCACCTTTCTGCATACTAGTTAATCTACTTTCAACCACATTCTTCCTGAGGGCAAGCTACCCCTCCCTTGCTTACCCACCTTACACCTTCTCAGAAACAGAGACAGAACCTAGGACAAAATGGAGTCCGAGTCAGACCTCGTATAAGCCATTTTAGTCTTGCCAAGCACCCTAGATTTTGGAGTGCCCTTACACAGTGTATTGTCTGCAGCTGCTTTCGCACTACAACTGCAGAGATGAGTCATGGCAACAGAAACCATGTGATCTGTGAAGCCAAAAATATCAACTCTCTGGCTCTTTACAGAGAAAGTTTGCTGACCCCTAGTCCCTGGGTGGTGCAACCAGTGAGCAAACTCGGCTGCTAGCTGAAAGGTTGGAGGTTCGAGTCCACCCAGAGGCACCTCAGAAGAAGGGCCTGGCAATCTACTTCCAAAAAATCAGCCGTTGAAAACCTTATGGAGCACAGTTCTGCTCTGACACACATGGGGTCACCATGAGTCGGGGTTGACTCAGCAGCAGCTGGTAGGCTAGATTGTGGTTTTCAGCACCCTGCTTTGATAGGTGTCAGAGAGCCTTGCTTCTCTTTCCTGTCAGTAATTGTCACCACATCTGCCCCGCAGGAGGAGTACCAGAGCGAAGGCATCACTTGGCACAACATTGACTACACAGACAATGTGGGCTGTATTCACCTCATCAGCAGGAAGCCCACTGGCCTCTTCTACCTGCTGGACGAGGAGAGCAGGTGAGTGCCTGTCTTCGTCTCCTAGAACTACTGTAACAGACATACCACAAGTGGGTGGCTTTACCGAACAGGAATTTATTTTCTCACGGTTCAGGAGGCTAGAAGTCCACATTCAGGGCACCAGCTCTCGGGGAGGTCTCTCTCTGTCAGCTCTGGAGGAAGTTTCTTGTCTCAGCTTCTCTAGTGTTCTTCTTGGCACCCGTTGGTGATCTCCATGTGGCATCTCTTTCCCCCATTTCTGCTTCTCTCTGTGCCTCATCCACTCGTTTTGTATCTCAGAAGTGGTTGGTTTAGGGCCCACCCTACACTGATAGGGCCTCATGAACATAACAAAACCCTATTCCCAAATGTGACTTCCTGGAGCCAGAGGCTGGATGAACCCCCAAAACTATTGCCCTGAGATAATCCTTAAACCTCACACCAAAAATATCCCCTGATGTCGTCTTAAAATCAAACAGTAATTTAGCTTAGCTGGTAAACAGTGTCTGCCTTGATCATTATGCTCTTTTAAGAACTCCCTGTATGCGATCAAACTGACAACAGCAACTGGAAAGTTCAGATGGGAAGCTGGGGTGGGGTGGGCAGTGAGTTTATGTCGGTGGCAGAGGAACAATTCAGTAAAGGAGGGTGAGAAGGTTGCACAACTTGAAGAATATAGCCAGTGTCACTGAATTGTACACGTAAAAACTGCTGACTTGGTGTCTGTTCTGCTGTGTATATTCTCAACAAAAAAATAAATGATAATAAAAAAGGTTTAGGACCCACCCTACACTGATATGGCATCATTAACATAACAAAGAGAACCCTTTTCCTAAATGGGATCACATCCATTGGTGTAGGTGTAGGATTTACAGCACATATTTTGGGGGACACAATTCAATCCATAGTGCATTCCCTGGCTCGGAACTCACCGCCGAGCCTTGGGTCCCTCATTCGCAGTGTGGGGTCATGAGCCTCACCTGGCTGCAAGGGGTGAGGGCAACAGGTATTTATGAAGTGCCTTACTCATGGTCACCAGCTGCAGGCCTGATATCGGGGTCACGCTGATAAGGTCCCCACAAGGCTAGGGGGAATCTCAAGTGAATCAGACACAGCTCCCGCCTCCAACCATGTCCCCGTCCAGGGCAGGAAGCAGCACCTCCATTTGTGGCTGGGACACAGGTAGGGCTGGGGTAGGCCAGGTGTGTGTGGCCACGATCGGGCCTGGTTTTATTTAGAGCCTTGCTATTTTTGTTCATTGTGTCTGTAAAGCTGGGAGAATCCTAGGAACAAGAGAGATGTTGAAGACTCGACTTACCATCTCTAAATTTCACTTTGCTCATCTATAAAGTAATAATAATACCTACTTGTAGGGTTGTTGTGAGATTGAATTTAAGATAAGGCTTGTAGAATGGCTGTCACATAGAACACACACTCAGTAAACATTGACCGTTGCGATAAAAGGAATCCCTGGGTGGTGCGCATGGTGAATGCACTCAGCCACTAACCGAAAGGTTGGAGGTTCAAGGCCACCCCACAGTGCCTCAGAAAAAAGACCTGGTGATCTGCTTCCAGAAAATCAGCCATTGAAAACCCTGCGGAACACAGTTCTGCACACATGGGGTCACTGCCAGGAGTCGGGGTCTACTCATTGGCAACTGGTATTATGGTTTGTTTTTGTAATTGTCTTGACAACGGAGTTTTGTGGCGCCCCCTTCAATGCATGCTCAATGCAAGCGTCTCGCTCACACCACTGGTGTCCCAGCCCTGGAAATGATGACCTTCATAGCTGCAGAGCCTCGACCCCCTCACCCGTCTCACACCCCACTGAGCCGCATCAGGGTCCAGAGGCTTTCACGCACCCCCTGCATCCGTGGTGAGCTTGGCAGAGGCGGGTGCGCCGAGTCTGCTGTGGCATTTCCTTCCTGGGAGGCAGGAATAGCCAGGTACAAGGAGCCCCTTATCCTGCCCCTGCCATCCCTCCCCAGACAGAACAGAGCTCTGCTTCATCCCGGCCTCTCCCTCCTCTGGGAGCCAGACAGCCCTCTCCAGGACGCGGCATCCAGGTACAGATGGCCCTGGGGCCAGAAGTTGCCCCATGCCCACGCCATGGTCGGCCGGGTTCAGGCCTTGCCTAGGCTAGTGTTCACAGATATTGTGGGCCTGGTCAGCAGCCCCCAGAAAACAACGGGGGGCCCCATGGACCAGGTGTTCGTCTGCACAGCTTCTCCATAGCCTTGCGGCCCCAACCACATCCCTTCAGCATGGTGTGCAACCATCACCGCTATCCATTTCCAGCTGTTTTTTATGACCCCAAAAGAGGGCCCTATACCCATCAGCAGTCATTCCCCATCTATCCCCTCTGCCTCCAGCCCCTGGCAACCACTGATCCACTTTCTGTCTCTTTGCATTTGCCCCGTCTGGACATTTTCATGTAAATGGGATCATACAACATGTGGACTTTTGTATCTGGCTTCTCTCACTGAGCATCATGTTTTCAGGGTTCATCCGTGTCATAGCGTGTATCAGTGCTTCACTCCTTTGTGTCACTGAGTATATTCCACTATATGGATGGACTGCATTGTGTTTATCCATTCATCTGTTGAGGGACACTTGGGTTATTTCCACCTTTTGGCTGTTGTGAATAATGTTGCAGTGAACATTGGTGCACAAGTTGTCTGTTTGAGTCCCTGCTTTCAATTCTTTTGGGGATATACCTATGACTGGGATTGCTGGGTCACATGGTAGTTCTGTGTTCAACCTTTTGAGGAACCACCAGACTGTTCTCCTCAGCAGCTGCACCATTTTACATTCCCACCAGCAGTGGAAGGGGGTTCCCGTTTCTTAGCATCCTCACCCTCAGCCTCTTTCTACCAGGCTGCAAACGCAGCTGCTGGCAGCTGCTGGCAGCAGTAGCAGGCTCCTGGCATACTCAGCGTGTGACAACAGTGCTCATTCACTGCTTCGTTTCCATGCCCATCGTCCACAGCTTGGCCAACGGCAGCCTATGCCACAAGTGTTCCCAGGAATGCCTGCCTGCACAGAATATTCTGGCACCTGCCTGGCCTGCATGTCGAGGCTCTTGAGCATGGAGTCTGGAGTGCATGACTGGCTGCTTTTCTGCTGCTAAAGGGCCTACATTCTCTCCCCAGCTTCCCCCATGCCACGAGCCAGACCCTGCTGGCCAAGTTCAAGCAGCAGTACGAGGACAACAAGTACTTCCTGGGCACGCCTGTAATGGAGCCTGCCTTCATCATCCAGCACTTCGCAGGGAGGGTCAAGTACCAGATCAAGGTGCGTGTCCACTGTGGGGCCCCCACAGAGGCAGCCGAGCCCAGGGCAGAAACCTCTGTGCCTGGGGCTTTCTCAGGCCAGGCCCATTTACCCAGGAGTTCCTGGGTGCGCAGATGGTTCACATGCTTGGCAGCTAACCGAAAGGTTGGCCGTTCGAGTCCACCCAGAGGAACCTCAGAAGAAAGGCCTGGTGATCTACTTCTGAAAACTCTATCATTGAAAACCCTGTGGTGCACAGTTCTACTCTGACACACCTGGGGTAGCCATGAGTCAGAGTCAACTTGTCAGCAACTGGTTTGGTTTTTTTTATTATTACCATCATGGAGTCCCTGGGTGGTTCAGACAGTAAACATGCTTGGCTACTAACCAAAAGGTTGGAGGTTTGAGTCCACCCAGAGGTGCCTCGGAAGAAAGGCCTGGTGATCTGCTTCTGAAAAATCAGCCATTGAAAACCCTGTGGAGCACAGTTCTACTCTGACACACATGGGGTAGCCATGAGTTGTAGTCAGCTCAACAGCAACTGGTTTTAATCAGTCACAGTGGAAATGACATATAGAACTTAACCATCCATATGGGGTCACCGTGAGTCAGAATAAATTCGCTGGCAACAGGTTTGTTTGTTTGTTTGTTTTTTAATACCTGTTGGTAGTCCACTGGGTGGTGCAAACATTAAACTCACTTGGTTGCTAACCCAAGAGTTGAAGATTCAAATCCACCCAGAGGTGCCTTGGAAGAAAGGCTTGGCGATCTGCTTCCAAGACACACCAGTCATTGAAAAAACGCTATGAAGCACAGTTCTGCTGTGACATACATGGGGTCACCATGAATCAGAGTTAAGTCGACGGCAGCTGTTTTGTTTTTGTTTTTTTTTTTTTTTGGTCCTGTGCTAGATGCTGGACGGGCTCCGGGGCCCCTAACCCTGCCCCAAACCCTCGTCTTCATGGTCAGAGGCCCCCTGCGTGGGACCTGTTCTGTGTGATTGAGATACCCCCACCACCACCCCTCTCTGTACCCACTTCGTTCCTCTCCTCTCCCGACAGGACTTCCGGGAGAAGAACATGGACTACATGCGGCCTGACATCGTGGCTCTCCTGCGAGGCAGTGATAGCTCCTATGTACGCGAGCTCATTGGCATGGACCCCGTGGCCGTGTTCCGCTGGGCCGTGCTGCGGGCCGCCGTGCATGCTATGGCTGTGCTGCGGGAGGCTGGACGGCTGCGGGCTGAGAGGGCCGAGAAGGCTGCAGGTAAGCAGAAGGAGGGAGCCGCTGCCCAGCTCTTGTTGAGAGTTGTTTGCTGCAGTCTAGTCAGCCCTGGCTCATGGTGACCCCACACACAACGGAACGAAACGCTGCCTAGTCCCAAGCTATCCCCATGATCGGCTTCGGATCAGACCATTATGATCCGTAGAACTTTTGCAGGCTGCTTTTCAGAAGTAGGTCACCAAGTCTTTCTTCATAGTCCATCTTAATCTGGACACTCCCCTGAAACCTGCTGAGCATCATAGTAACACACAAGCCTCCACTGACAGGCGAGTGGTGGTTGCATGTGAGGTGCATTGGCTGGGAATGGAACCCAGGCTCACCCCCATGTTCCCCTCCCTCATACCTGCAACCACTAGTGTTGTTTGTGTTTCTGGATTTGCCTGTCCTGGACATTCCATATAATGGAATCAGACAGTATGTGGCCTTTTGTGTCTGGCTTCTCTCACCGAGCATAATGTTTTCAAAGTTCATAAATGTAGCGTGTATTGCTGCTTTATTCCTTTTCATGGCTAAGTAGTATTCCATTGTCTAGACAGACATTTGAGTCGCTTCCTCCTTTTGATGATTGTCTTGTTTTGGTTTTGACCTTTGTTTTTTCCTGAAAACACAATCAAGACTGGATTGTTTACAGCTAAAATGCTCTTCTGTGAGCTAGAGTATACTTGGGACCTGTTGTGGTCATGTCCTTCACGTGAGGTGTATGGTTTACCCTTGCCCATCCCTAGAAGGTGGGAATGCGTGTCCCCATTTTTCCAATAAGGAACCTTCTAGAAGGGCTGAGTGACTCACCCAGGGTTGCATGGCGCTGGCCTTCTGTGCCCCACAGTGCTCTATTTCATGGAAGTTGTTGATTAAAAGGAACTCAAAAAAGGATAAAACCTTTACCAGAAATAGAAAATAAATGGTGCTCTTTTTGAAGCGCATCAACCTCTTCATAATTCTCTGCCCAAATTTGAGTCATATGTTTTTGTTTTTATTTATTTTGTTGTTGAAACTGTACCTAGCAAAAACATACATACCAATTCGTTTCTCCATGTACAATTCAGTGACATTGATTACATTCTTCGAGTGAGTTGTGCAACCATCCTCACCCTCCTTTTCTGGGTTGTTGTCCCATTAACAGAAACTCACTGCTTCCTAAAGTTCCTATCCAGTCTTTCGAGTTTCTGTTGTCAGTTTGATCCCATACAGACAGATGTTAAAAGAGCACAGTGCTCAAGATAGACGTTCTTTACTAGTTAAGCTAAACTGTTGTTCGGTTTTAATATCACAGATTGTTTTTTGAGATTGACTAGCATAAGGCTTGCAGCTAGGGTCCCTGCGTGGTATAAATGGTGAATGGCGTGACTGCTAACCGGCAGATTAGAGGTTGGAAGCCCCTCAGATGCTCCTCAGAAGAAAGGCCTAGCAACCTACTTCTGAAATATTAGTCATTAGAAACCCTATGGAACAGTTCTACTCAGCATACATGGGGTCACCATGAGTCAACGTCGACTCAGTGGTAACTGGTTAAGGCTCACAGCCTCTATGGGGAAGACGAGGTTCACAGGCTCCAGGCGACCCACCCTACCATGCCCACTCTGTCCCCGGCAGGTACAGATGGCTCTGGCATCCGAAATCACCCAGGAGAGCCTCAGAGAACAGCCAGCACCGCATCGGAAAAACTGTACCGGTGAGCAAGACCTTAGTCCATCCAAATCAGAGCCTCTAGAAAGAGTCCCTGGGTGGCACAAATGGTTAAGCATTCAAACACTAGCAGAAAAGTTTGGTGGTTCAGACTTACCCGGAGACACCTTGGAAGACAAGCCTGGTGATCTGCTTCTAAAAGGCCACAGCCCTGAAATCCCTGTGAAGCAGTTCTGCTCTGGAGTCATGGGCTCACCACAAGTTCGAATCAACTCAACAGCAGCTAATAAGAGCAACAATAACACATTTCCAAATCACAGCCTCTAGACAGCAGTACTATTTAAAACAGCCCCAGAAACCCCACCTTCCACACCAAGGTGTGGCCGCTGCCCCGTATGAGTGACCAGTGGCATTTGGACGGTGTCCTTCTCCACACAGCACAGCATGGGTGATGTGGGCTCCATTCACAGGGGATCCTTCCCGTGGCCAGGAAGGGCTGCCAGTGGGTGGGCCAAGGGCCAGAGAGTCCTCCCTTTAGTCCAAGGTCCCTGGGTGGCACAAACGGTTTGTACTCAACTACTAATCTAAAGGCTGGCAGTTTGAATCCACCCAGCAGTGCCACGGAAGAAAGGACTAGCAGTCTGCTTCCGTTAAGTTTACAGCCAAGAAGACCCTATGGAGCAGTTCTACTCTTACACATGGGGTCACCGTGAGTCAAAATCGACTCAGTGGCAGCTGGGTTTTTTGGGTCCTCTTAGCCTGGGCAGGGGTGTCCTGAACAAGAATCTGCTAAGTGACTTTCCTAGCAAACACAGACACCTCGCTGCTGCATGTGAGATGGCACCGGGTATGTTGCGGTCAACTAGCAGTGACTGCGAGTCCCTGGGTGGTGCCAATGGTGAAGACACTCAGCTGCTGACCGAAAGGTTGGAGGTTCAAGTCTATGCAGAGGCATCTCAGAAAAATCAGCCATTGAAAACCCAGCAGAGCACAGTTCTACTCTGACACACATGGGGTCACCAAGAGTCAAAGTCAACTAGACAGCAACTGGTTTTAGCAACAACCGAGGGTCCCCATATACCCCAGAACATACTAGTGCTGGGGGATAAAACTGACCAGCAGATGGGGTGAGAGACCCCAATACAGTGCAGTCAAGGCCACGCTGGACAGATGTCCAAGTGGTGACAAAGCCAGGGGAGGGGCACTGCCTTGCATCCCTGCAGAACTAGGTGGACTGAGCTGAGAAGGGACCAATTGAGCCAGATGAGGAGAGCAATTTCCCTGCCAGCCATGGGAATATTATGTGCGAAGGCCTTGGGGCAGCCATGTCCCTGCTTTCTTTCTCAAGATCCACAAATCCCATAGACAGTGAGTCTCGAAATTTTTGAGTGTGAATAAGTCATTTTTAATTTTTTTTTGAGTCCTTTGTAATAATACTTCTTCAAGAGATAAACTGTGTCCATGAAGGTAGAGCTAGCACCTGGGTAAGTGACTATGATACATTCATCTGAAAGCACAGTGTATAATTTTCCTGCTTTTAACAGTATGTATTTCTAAATCAACTTTTTCACTCAAAATGGGTCAAAGGTGAATGTGTCCCTCTATTGCTTGTGTTTTGAGGTTTATTTTTTCCCAAAGGGGCCTTTGACCCATTGATCTCCCCAGGGCCTAGCTCCTGGCCACAGATCCTACCAGGGAGTGCGTTCAGTTTATACAGCTTCTCCCTTTCAGCTGCTCAATGCTAGATTTCTCATTTGACGGCTCTGAGGAGTTCGATATTAACGCTTTTGAGGACATCATTGCTTTCTATGAAAGCAAGAAGTAAGTGGAAGCGAGGGCCTTCAAACCCGAGACCAGGGAGGCACATGAGAGGAGTCGTCTGCCCTGGCACGAGATGTAGTGTCAGGGCAGGGAGACAGCAGATTAGGGGGCACCAGGGCCTACAGGAGGACACGCTCGCCAGATTTGGCCGGGGCAGGGGGTGTGGGCTGTGGCAGTCGCACGGAGCAGCTCTGGGCACAGAGTAGGCATTGTCTGAGCGCAGGTGCAAAATGTGACGCCTCTGTTATCTTTGCTCTGTGCCTCCCTGGAGAACGAGGGCGCGGAGGTAAGTGCGGCCTCTGGTCTGGTTCACACGGTCTGGTGCATGGAACACGAATGAGGGGGTGCTGCTCGAGTCCTTCCACCACTGCCTTGAGCTTAAACATGCATGTGAAACAAACAAGACCAAATGTCCCATTTGGTCCTAGAATCATTCCAGAAAATTCTATTAAGACATACATTCTTTCTACATTCTTTGTTAATTATTCATTTTAAAAGCCCTTAGTGCCAGAGTCTTGGGCCTAGAAAGACAGCTCAGGCCTGACCAACAGCAGTTGAACAAAATGAAGCTGATAAGATTGGATTCGTCAGGGTGAAGATCCCCTTAAATTGGGTTTTTTCCCCTCGGCACTGCTGATGTTTGCTTCCAAATCATTCTCTGGGGAGGGGGCCGCCCTGTGCACTGTCCAGTGTTGAGCAGCATCCCTAGTCTCCACCCACTCGATGCCAGTAGCACCCCCTCCGTCAGGTGTGACAACCACAAACATCCCCAGACCTGGCCAGTGTCTCCTGGGGGCAGAATGGCCCTCATTGAGGATCACCATATTAAACTCTGGCTTGTCTATTCAAAGTCATCTCTCCCAGGACTTTTCAGGAGGCTAACAGGAGGTTGACATTTGGTCCCAGAATGGTAATCGGAGAGCAGTTTACTTCTTCCCGTGGAGACTCTTTGGTCTTACTTCTTCCATGGCCCCTTGCTGCTTTTTTCAATGATCTGAGGTACCATGCTACAAAATCCACTCTGCTCGACGCCCCTCGGAGGGAGACTGCCCCTGGCCGAAGCCCCTTCCAGGCACAGGAGGAAAGGCAGCGGCAAGCGGATCCCCGACGGGGTTTTGTGCACTGACCACACTTGCATGTTTTGGCTCTGGCGGCCAGGGAACAGTTCCAGCAGCACTGGGACCCCGAGGTGGCGGGCCTGCTGCTCTAACTCCATCTTCTCTCTGTCACTGCGCCCCCTCCCCCCACCCCCGGCTCCCCAGAGACTTGCATGACCAAATCATCAGGACCATCAAGGGGCTGCCCTGGCAGGGCGAGGACCCCCGGCGGCTTCTCCAGTCCCTCAGCCGGCTCCAGAAACCCCCAGCCTTCATCCTGTGAGTCCCTCCTGCGGCCGCGCGGCCCCTCCTCCAAAGTGCAACAACTGCCGCCACCACCTCTGGGGCTCCAGCCGGCCGCCCTCCCTCTGTGGCTGGGTTCCCCGGCATTCCTCACTAGCTGCTAAAAACTATGCTGAGCTCTTCCGCAGCTGTGTCTGCAAGCCAGCCGTGGCTAAACCGCCTTCGTAACAAGCCTCAGTGTCTGCACTGCAGCCTCAGTACCCCACTGGGCAGCTTGGCCAGAATGTGCATCTAATTGTCTGCCCGCTCCACCCCAAACGTGTCCTGTCAACATGTAGAGCAAAGCTTGCTTCTCCCTCTGTCTGAGTCAGGGTTCTCTAGAGAAACAGAACCAGTGGGATATATTTAGAGAGAGAGGGAGATTTACTTCAACGGATTGGCTCATACTATTGTGGGGGCTGGCAGGTTCAAAATCCATAGGTCAGGCAGCAGGCTGGAGAGTCCTGCAGGCATGGGTCCCAAGATCCAGAGGTGAGGCAACAGGAAGAGTACAGGGTCAAAAGAGAGCAAGTCCTGCCAAAATAACTATTTGTAGTCTGAAGGCAAAGCATACCCTAGGGAAACTTCCCTTTGAACTGATAGATTGATTACATTAGATGACATTATGGAAGGTTTATTACATTACATTGCGAAACAGCAACTAGAGTAGCATTTGGCCAAACCATTGAGAACCATGTCCTAGCTAAGTGGACACATTAACCGTCTTACCCGTCTTGACCGTTGTTAGCATCTAAAGAAGCCCATCTGGGGGAGGGAGGGTTTGTGTGCCTCCACCTGAGCCACGCATGGCTCCAGTTTTGTGAACTGCAGTGGGATATGTTTGGAAGGGTGCAGAAGTCACACAACCCAGGTTTGGTCCTAACTTCCTACCACTAACTCACCCAGTGGCATGAACTAGAAGTGGCTAGAGGGCTAGTAGCATTACTCCTCCATCTGCAAAACGGGGGTGATGGTTCTCATGCCACTGTGGCACGAACCCAGTGCCAGGCAGGAGACAGCTCAGCCGATGCACTCGTGCGATGACTATCCAATCGTCAGGGGCCACTCTGGGTTCAGGCCAGCCAGGAGCAAAGCTTGTCCCAGCCAGGGAGGCAGTTTTGAAATTTGTTTTGTTGTGCCTTATTCAACTCCAGAGTCTCTGGGTAGCACGAACAGTAAACATGCTCTGCTCCTAACGTTCAAGTCCATCCAGAGGTGCCTCAGAAGAAAGGCTTGGCAATCTACTTCTGGAAAAATCAACCACTGGAAACCCAGTGGAGCTCAGTTCTGCTCTGACTTACATGGGGTTGATTTGATGGCAGCTGTCAGGTACTTGACCCCACAAGGATTACAGTGAAACCTAATGCCATTAGAATTCACAGGCCACACATGTAGCGCTGGCATTTTGCACATCTGCAGGCTACCATTTCCTTAGCCAGTTGTAAAAACGAGCCAAGCTGCTCTCTTTTGTATTTTTGTTTTGTCTACAAGGTTCAGTGACATGTCTGAGAATGTTGGGGGAGGCAGCAGGAGGCAAAGGGGACTGTCCCCCACCCCCAGCCAGAGGATCGGCTTTTGTGCTTCAGTTTCACCAGTGTGAGTCCAAAGAACTTATTGTCATGCTAGCTGCCATCAAGTTGGCCCCGACTCATGGAGACCCCATGCATAACAGAACAAAATGGTGCCTGGTCCTGCACCATCCCCATGATCGGTTATGGATCAGACTGTTGTGATCCACAGCATTTTCATTAGCTGATTTTCAGAAGGAGATCTCCAGGCCTTTCTTCCTAGTCTGTCTTAGCCTGGAAGCGCCACTGAAACCTGTTCAGCATCATAGCAACACACAAGCCTCCACAGAGGTGTCTGCACATGAGGTGCATTGGCCGGAAATTGAACCCGGGTCTCCTGCATGGAAGGCGAGAATTCTACCCCTGAACTACTATTGCCTCATAAAAAAGAGCTCTGGGGGCTCGCTGGGCTTTTGCCAACGTATAGCAAATGGAACTAGAACGCCTAGTGGGTGTACAAACTGCTCTCTTGTTTTTTTTGTTTTTTTTTATTGTGGCAAAATTATATACCAGTAGTCCCCAACTTACAATGGGATTCCGTTCTGACGACTCCATCATGAGTCAGTTCTGACTTTTAGTTTTCATTATTACTGCTTTTTATTACCAGTATCTTTATAAATCCAATCTTTGTCTTTAGGGGTTGGAAACATTGCACGTAAACTTACAGATATATTTTAATACATACATAAATACATCTATTAAAAAAATAGACGACCTTGGCATTTTGTCAGTTGTGATAATCACTCCACTTGTGGAAGGTTCTGGATCATCTGGATTATGCCTCGGAACAAGGATGGCATTTCCAGACAGAAAATTAGTGAGAGTTGTTTGTATGGTCCTTTTACGCACTGCAGCATCGTATGTAGTATGTATTACTAACGATAAGGTGTACAAACAAAAAAAGATGGTCGTAAGTGCAGTTCGTCATAACTTGAACACATCGTAAGTTGAGGACTACCTGTCTAACAAAACATTTGCCATTTCAGCCTTTTTTTTACATGTACGATTCAGTAACGTTAATTACTTTCACCATGTTGTACAACCATCACCACTGTTTGTTTCTCAGTTCGTGGTCTCTTGATGCTCCAGTCAGTGCATCCCATCATCAAATTTTGGGGATCTGTCAGCTCCTCTTTAGCCACCCCTGTGTAGAGGAACAGTCCCTGGGTGGCACAGATGGTTTTCACTCTACTTACTAACCTAAAGGTGGTCAGTTTGAACCCACCCAGTGGCACTGCAGAAGAAAGGCCTGGCAATCTGCTGCCATAAAGATTGTTAGCTGCCATCGAGTCGATTCTGACTCATGACTACCTTGTGTGTGCAAAGTAGAACTGTGCTCTATAGGATTTTCAGAAGCAGGTCGCCAGGCCTTTCTTCCATAGTGCTGCTGAATGGACTCGAACCGCTAACCTTTCAGCTAGTAGCCAAGCATTTAGCCATTTGCACTACTCAAGGACTCCCTCTGTAAAGATCACAGCCAAGAAAATCTTATGGAGCAGTTCTACTCTGACAAACATGGGGTCGCCATGAGTTGGAATCGACTCAACTACGTGTTTGGGTTTTTTCTGTATGTGAGGATGAATGTTCCACCCCTTTAATGACCAGTGGGCCGTTCCTCCCCAGATATCCCGAGTGACCTCCCCCTAGGTCATGCATAAGTCTACTCAGGGTCAGCCGGAAGCAGAGTCCAGCAGCTGCCTGCCAGGTGAAGCTGGTGTCCACAGATCAGCCCCTGAGAGGCCTTCTTCCCCATGCCCACAGGCAGCGGCCCCCAGGGTCCCCAAGGGTCTGGCAGTGGCCTTGTTGCACTTGTCCTCTTTCTTCCACTCTCTGCTCTCGCTTGGTCTAACTCGCAAGCCATGGCTGGCTCAACTAACCCAGATACTGACACCGTGTTCCTCATGTTCATGAAACAATTTTTAATATTTTGACAGGAAAAGTAAAGGTATCAAACAAAAGCAGATCATTCCCAAGGTAAACACGCGCGGCACGGTGAAAGATGATGTCTTGTTCTTGCTTGTTCTGGAGAACACCTGGCTGGAGTTTTTTTTTCTGAAAATGGGGGGAAGGCACTTGTAACTTCTTAAGCTTCTCGGGTGTTTTCTTCTTCACAAGTGTTGCCCCCCAACCCCGATTCTTTTTTTTTTCTTTTTTTTTTTTTTTAATTTCTCATGTTGAAATGATTTGGAGCTGTCTTTGTTTGGGCTTCTTGGAAGCAGAGCCTGAGACAGGGATATTTGCACAAGTGATGGATGGAAGGGAACTCCTGGACCTGAGTGGGGGCTGCGGGGAGCAAAGGGGGTAGGAGGGATGCTAAGCAAGGGCACAGACTCAGCTGGAGCCCGGCTCAGCCTAGTCCCACGGGGAGCCCTGGAATGTGAATAGTACCTCAGAGCTTGCTTTACCCAGTAGCAAGGGGCCTAGCTGTTATATCCCCTTATCGATCAGTAATTGGCTACAGGTCACCCCAAGGGGGGCGAAAGAGGGCACAGCCCCTCCCAGGCATCTCTGGGAGAGGAAGCCCCTCAGCCAGGGCAGTCATACCAGGACGAGGCAAAGGGGCCACAGCCCTGCAGCTGGGTGCTCTGTCTAGCTTCTTAATCCTCTAGAAACTTCAGGAAGCTTCTAGAAACACAGGGACAGTTTCATTCCGGTCAGCAAGTGAGGTAGTTCTGGCTCCTCTGTTCAGCTGGGTTGGCATCTGGGCAGCACAGAAGGGCTTGGTCCTCCCTGACTTGCCTGAGATAAATGGTGACGAGCATGCTGCTGAAATGCGGCCCTTGGTACCCGTGAGTTTTCTCTACTAACCCCAAGAAAAAGAAGACAGGGCATCCTCTGGGCCATGCAAGAGGCTGTAGCCAGCCCCCTCAGACGCCACAGCCAAAGGTCACCCCAACAGGCCTCCCCCATCCAACCTCAGCAGCTGAGACCATGAATCTTAGCGTCTGCAGTGGGGTGCTGGCTCAGGAATGTGCCCCCCAGTGCCCATTGGGAGTTGGAGGGCAGGCCAGACCCTAGACCCCATGCATCTGTCCTAGAACCTATTGGACTCCAAGTCCCTGAAGCTCATCATTAGCATGACCCTGCATGACCGTACCACCAAATCGCTCCTGCACCTGCACAAGAAGAAGAAGCCACCCAGCATCAGCGCACAGTTCCAGGTGGGCGGCAGCAGGGGAAACTGAGGCAGGGCGGGGGGAAACCAAGCCAGGGTGGCACTCAGCTCAGCCTGGGACCCGTGTGCCTCACTAAAGACAAACTCCAACACAGGCAGCTTATCCATTATCCCAGGTGCCCCGTGGCAGCACTGCTAACGTTTGGTTCCAGAACCTTCTCTGTGGTGGGGGTCATCCTGTGCACTGTTGGGATGTGCAACAGCATCCCTGGTCCCCACCCACTCAATGCCAGTAACACCCACTCTCCCAGTTGTGACAACCAAAAAGGTCCCCAGACATCACCAGTATCCCCCGGGGTGGGGAGGGGGTGCAGAATTGCCCGCAGGTGAGAACCACTGTGTTACAAGCCTTGTGGTCAGCACACTGGTTAGGGGATTCCACCGACCCCTAATACACTCTGTGTTCAGTGATCGTCTGACCTACTGAAGTCCTAGGATGCTGCATACATTTAAATACACAAACTGAGTGGGAGGGAGGAAGGAGGGAAATCACAGAAGCTGGAGGATCCCACTGGTTTATATTGTCTAACCCACCAGGAGTTTATTCTGGTGTATTGTGTGAGGTGGGGATCAAACTCAATTTTTCTCCCCCAAATAATTAAAACAGCATTTCCCCACCTCAGCTCTGCTGACGTTTGGGGCTGGATCATTCTTTGGGGTAGGGCATGCTATGCACTGAAGTGTGTTGAGCAGCATCCCTGACCTCCTCCCTGGGGCACAGTCACCCCGGGTGAGAACCCCTGGGTTACGGAATTCCACTGAACTCGAAGAGACTCTGCGTTCTCTAATTATCTGACCTGCTGAAGTCCTCGAATGCTGCACACATTTAAATCCACACACTGAGTCGGGAGGGAGAGAGGAGGGAAATCACAGAAGCTGGAGGGGTCACCCTGGTTTAAACCATCTAACTCATCAGGAATTTATTCTCATGTATGGTGTGAGGTAGGGATCAAACTCACTTTTTTTTCCCCCAAATAATTAACGCAACATTTCCCCACCTCAGCATGGCTGATGTTTGGTTCCGGATCATTCTCTGTGGTGGGGGCTATCCTGTGCACTGTAGAGTATTGAGCAGTTTCCCTGGTCTCCATCCATTAGATGCCAGTAGCGCACACACACCCTTAATTGTGACAACCATAAACTTCTGCAGACATCGCCCAGTGTCCTCTGGGGGTAGAATCACCCTGGGTGAGAACCACTGGGTCACAAGCCTCATGGGCCAGCACGTTGGTTAACAGAACTGTTGAGCTGAGCCATGTAGTCACATCTCCCTTTTTCCCTGGCTGCCAGGAAGCATGGGGACAGATTTTTAGGGGGACAGCAGCTGTCAGCCTCACCATTTGCTTTTTCGGTCCTTCCTGCTTTCCTCCATCTGAGCTCTGTCCCCACTCTGACATGTTATCAGACCTCAGGGTACACATCCTTTGAGGGACCTCCTGCAACCCTTTAGGAAAGAGTGTGGTCCCTTCTGGGTCCAAGACTTTTTTTTTTTTGGTGAAAATATACACAGTAAAACATAGGCTAATCCAACAATTTCCACATGTACAATTCAATGCCGTTGATTATATTCTTCAAGTTGTGTGGCCATTCTCGCTATCCTTTCCTGAATCATTCTGCCACCATTAACATAGCCTCACTGCCCCCTACGCTTTTCATCTGATCTTTCAAGTACTGTTGTCAATTTGATCTCACATATATAATTCTTTAAAAGTGCAATGCTTGAGGCAGATATACTTTACTAATTAAGTTAAACTGTTGTTTGGTTTAAAGATAACTTCAGGAGCCAAGACTCGTTGACTTGTTTTAATTCCCCGGAAGGAGTTGGGCCCACACCCTCCCCCTTCCACCTGAGGTCCAGGCGAGAGCCTGTGGGAGGTGGCAGCTCTTAGCCGTGGGGGTGCCACAGACCCCTTGGGCTCCCCAGGGTATCATAGCCTCTGATCTGAACATGTGGCTTCAACTGCCATGTCCTACCACCTGGGACCTGCACTGTGACCTGTGTCCCCTCCCGTTGACGGCACAGGGTGACCTGTGTCCCCTTCAGCAAGTGGTACACTCTTGGGGGTGTCTAGGCCCAGCTCAGCACTGAACCTTCTCTGTCTTTCCCTAGACATCCCTTAACAAGCTCCTGGAAGCACTGGGCAAGGCAGAGCCCTTCTTCATCCGCTGCATCCGCTCTAACGCTGAGAAGGTGAGCATCATTGGGAAACTGAGGCCTGGCAATGGCCAGGCTCCTGGGGTGTTCCCACCTCTGGTGGCCCCCAGGGAGGACAGGGAGAGTCTTTATATCCTGAGTATGGGTGTCATGGCTGCAGCCAGCTTGAGGGAAAGGCCAAGTCGGGACGGGATTCTAGGAGCTGCACACAGGGCGCTGCAGCTGGTCACGGCCCAAAAGGGGAGCAGACAGAGGGTCGGCGGGGTGTTTTCTGAGTGTAAAGGACCAAGGAGGGACGACAGATGCAGAGAGAACACGCGGAGTGAAGGAAAGGTGGATGCAGGAGGCCCTCCAAGACCCCAGCACTGCATGCGCCCAATCGTACTGGGATCCTCCATAACGGGGGCTACATAGAAACTAGCACCTCGTCTCCGTGCCATTGATGGCTCACGTGCACACTCAAGGCCACGCTCCCTGATTGCTCTCCGTGCCATTTCAGAAGGAGCTGTGCTTCGACGAGGAGCTGGTGCTGCAGCAGCTGCGCTACACGGGCATGCTGGAGACTGTGCGCATCCGGAGGTCGGGCTACAGCGCCAAGTACACCTTCCAGGTACTGCACGCATGTGTGCACAGGCAGGTGTACACACACAGGAACACGTGCAGATGTGCACACATTTATACTCAGGCGCAGACATGCACGCACGTAGGCGTACATAGGCACTCACGCAGGTACACACACGGACACATGCAGACACATGCATACTTGCACACGCATGCACACACACTATACTGGTCTCCTAGGACTTCCGTAACAAATTACCACAAAGTGAGTGGCTTTAAAAAACAGAAATCTATTCTCGCACAATTCTGGAGGCTGGAAGTCCAAATCAGGGTGTCGGCCGTGTGGATTCCTTCTGAGGCTCTGAGGGAGAATCTGTTTCAGGCTTCTCTCCTGGCTCTTGGTGGCTCCAAGCGTTCCTTGGCTTGCAACTGAAACGTCCCATGGCATCCTTCCTCTGTCTGTGTCTCTTCTCCTCTTGTATAAGGATACCACGCACAGGATTAGGACCCACCCTGCTCCAACATGACCTCATGTTAACCTAACTGATCACATCTGCAAAGACTATGTTTCCAAACAAGGTCACGTTCACGGGTACCAGGATTAGGACTTCAACATATCTCTTTGGGGGACACAGTTCAATCCACAAGAGAGGCCATCCTGTGCACTGTAGGGTGTTGAGCAGCATCCGTGCCCTCCACACACTCGATGCCAGTAGCACCCCTGCCCCGAGTCTTGACAACCAGCAATGCCCCAACACCTCACTAAATGCCCATCCCCCACACGGTTGAAATGGCTGCGGTGAGGGCCCTGCGTTCCAGTGCAAGCTGGTGAGCACAGGGCCAGGGCCGGAGATGATGGCATCGGAATCTGGGCAGCCTTGGAGACCTCACTGAATCATCCTCTTCTCATCCACAGAGTGGAAACCCCATCCTTCTGACCCTGGCAGATATGAAAGGGAAAACTATAGGAAGGGGGAAACACTGGGGTGTTTTACTAACGCATGGCTCTTAAGGGAGCCCTGGGGGTGCAGTGGTTAAGCATTCAGTCGCTAACCACAAGGTCGGCAGTTCAAATCCACCAGCTGCTCCTTGGAAACCGTATGGGGCAGTTCTACTCTGTGCTGTAGGGTCACTATGAGTTGGAATAGTGGCTTTTAAGTATTTGAAATGTCTCTTCACTTAAAAGGCACATCCTGTTTAGCAGTTCCTCAAAAAGTTAAACATAGACTTACCATATGACCCAGCAATTCCTCTCCTGGGTCTGTACCCAAAAGACTTGAAAACAAGGACTCAAACTGAGACTTGTCCACCCGTGTTCATAGCATTACTGTTCACAGTAGCCAAAAGATGGAAACAACCCAAACGTCCATCAGCAGATGAATGGAGAAGCACAATGTGGTCCATCCAGACAACGGAATATTTCTCTACCATAAAGGGACCTAAAGTCCTGATACATGCTACAGCATGGATGAACCTTGAAAACGTCATGCTGAGTGAAATAAGTCAGACACAAAAGGTCACATTGTATGATACCCCTTCTGTGAAATATCTAGAATGGCAAATAGAGGCAAACAGAGACCAAAGTTAATTCCTGGTTACCAGGGGCAGGAGGGAGGGGGAAGAGGAAGCCATCATTTAGGAAGCAGTGAGGTTGTGTTTATGGTGATAGGGAATGTGGCAGCAATGATGCATGATGGTATACAACATGATTAATGTAATTGATAGTGCTAAATTATATACCTGAAAAATGTTGAATTGGTCAAGCAAGAAAGAAAGGCAGGGGACAATGTGTATGATACAATCTCAATTAGGATTTTTCTTATTTTTTTTTTTTAAAAAAGGGCAGATACCCTCAGTTGTGGTTGAAACCTTGAATAAACCATAGATTGTGAGCTCCCAAGCAGCCCGTCTCCTAGACACCCCAGAATAGTGCTGGCTCTAAACAGACCCCAGTGGATACTTGCTGATGGAAAGAAAATTCCAGAACTCTGTGCCTACAGCTGCCTTAAGATTTTGACTCTTTTAGAAAGCCCAAACTGTTAGATTTGTTAAAAGAGCATTCACATTCAACGAAGCCATGACCTTGGAAACGAGGCCTGGCCAGGGAATCGCTGGAGCTAGCCTCCTTGTAGTTGCTGAAAATGTTCTCACCTCTTGTCCAAACCCCCAGGACTTCACGGAGCAGTTCCAGGTGCTTTTGCCCAAGAATGCCCTACCCTGCAGGGAGGTCATCTCCACGCTGCTAGAGAAGATGGCCGTGGACAAAAAGAACTACCAGATCGGGAAAACCAAGGTCAGCGCCCACACCTCACGCAGCCCTCTCAGCCACATGTAGGTCTCCTCCTGGCCCCAAGCCACAAGGCCACTCTTAAAAATAAGGGGCTTCGTGTAGGAAGTGGGTTTCCTGGGGCCCAGCACTTCACTCCCTTATAGAAGGCAGAGCTGTGGGACTACAGGGCAGGGGTTCAGACTTCTGGTGGCCCTGGCCAGATTCTCCAGCAGGGCTTGGAGAAGCTGCTGGACTGCCCTGTTTCCCGTCTCCTCACCCATGGGACAGGGACCATCGTACTGATCTCATAGGGTGTTTGTTGTTAGCTGCTGCTGAATCAGCCCTGACTCATGGCGACCCTGAGCACAGTGGCACAAAATACTGCCCAGTCCTGTACCATTCCCATGATCAGTTCCAGATCAGACCATTGTGACCCATAGGGTTTTCACTGGCTGATTTTCAGAAGTCGAGCACCAGGCCTTGCTTCCTAGTCCCATTAGGGCTTCACCGGAGTTTTTAAAATCCCCTACAGTTCCTAAAAAAAGTTAAACATAGAATTACCGTCTAACCCAGCAATTCTGCTCCTATGTATCTTCCCGAAAGAATTAAAAACAGGTGTCCAAACAAAAAATTGTACACAAAGATTATAGTAGACATAGTCACAATAGTCAAAAGGTGGACATGACCCAAATGTCCATCTATGGAGAAACACAATTTAGTCCATCCATACGATGAAATATTATTCAGCCATAAAGAGGAATGAAGTACTGATACATGGATTAAACCTCAAAAACATGGATTAAACCTGTTATGACATGGATTAATCCTCAAAAACATTATGCTGTGTGAAATAAACCAATCATAAAAGGTCACATACCCTATGTTACTACTTACATGAAATATCTAGAATAGGCAAATGTATAGAGACAGAAAGCAGGTTAGTGGTTGCCTAGGGCTTGGGGCTGACTCAACAGCAGCTAACAACAGGACTTGGTGGGAGGGGGAGTGACCGTTAACGGGTATAGGGTTGCCATTTGGGGTGATGAAACTATTCTGGAATTAGATAGAGGTGATGGTTGCACAACATGGTGAATGGACTAAATGCCACTGAATTGTGCTCTTTAAAATGGTTAATTTTATCTTATGTGAATTTCACCTCCATAAATTAAAACAAACATAAGTCTTCCTTGGCCAATCAGTGTGCCAGCTGCCTGGGTCTCCTTCCTGGGGTGGGCTGTACAAAGGGATTTGGGGTGGGGGTGCCGTATAGCTGACTGTCTCTGCCTGCCTGCCCACCTCTGGCCAGGTGTTCCTGAAAGAGCTGGAACGGCAGGCCCTACAGGAGACGCTGCACAGGGAAGTCATGCGCAAGATCCTGCTGCTGCAGAGCTGGTTCCGGATGGTTCTGGAACGCCGGCACTTCCTACAGATGAAACGGGCAGCCGTCACCATCCAAGTACCATAGGACCCCGGGGTATGTGGGGGGATGTCCAGGGTCACCCACACTCAGCCCTGACTAGACCCTCTGCCCTCCCAGGCCTGCTGGCGTTCCTACCGAGTCCGGCGGGCGTTGGAGAGGACACAGGCAGCCGTGTTCCTTCAGGCCGCATGGAGGGGCTACTTGCAGCGGAGGGCCTACCGGCACCGGAGACAGAGCATCATCCGCCTGCAGAGCCTCTGCCGGGGCCACCTGCAGCGCAAAAGGTGAGCAGAACATTCTGGAACATTCCAGAATGTTCTGGAAGCTGGGACCAGAGAGCTGCTTGAAATACTAGGAGGCCATTCAGGAGGCTGGCAGGGCCAGGGGATATCAGGTAGCAGGAACCATACATTTGCTGAGGAAGCCTCAGGTTGGCCAGGGATTCCTTCCACCAACCCATTCTTGGCCAGTCAGCAGAACACCCGGATTCAAGGTTGAGGGAAGAGCTGCCCAGATTCCCCACATACTCATACTCACAGAGCTCCAGGCATTCACTACATTGACACTGGGGCTCCTGCTGCTGTGCAGGCATCCACAGCTCCAAGACCAGCCCTCTCCTCCAACCATGCTCCCCTGCTGGCCATCCTGTGACCCCTGACCCCACAGCCCCTGCTAACATTCAGACCCATATCTCCACTGCAAACTAAGGCACCAGTCTGGCACTGACCACACACGCAAAGACTCTCCCAGGGAGTTCACCAAGGATATAGCCCCAAATAGCCCCTGAGGGAACCCCAGGGGTCTGCCTGTAGGACCCCACCCCAGAGCAGCACTAACGAGGGTCCCTCTCCCGGACGATGAGCCAGGCCAGACCCAGAGCAGCAATGAGGGTAGTGCTATGTCCTCTGTCCTGGTTGAGGTTACCCCCAGTTCCCTTCCAACCTAGCTGACCACCGCCCAGGCCAGTCTTGGAGGGTAGGCACCTGTGTCTGACTTGGGGTCTTCCCTTTCCCCCTTCCCTGCAGCTTCAGCCAGATGGTCTTGGAGAAGCGGAAGGCAGAAGAAAAGGAAAGAGAGGCACAGCTTGCCGCAGGGGAAGCCACTGAGGAGGCCAGTGGGGAGCAGGAGCTTGGGCACATGCCGTCTGAGGTCCCTGAGCCCCTGGCCATGTCGGAGCCTGAGCCACAGCCCAGTGATGGGCCCCCCACAGTGATCTCCCACCCAGAGACAGAGACCCCAATTCCAGAGAAGCCCACCCCTTCCCAGAAACTGCCAGCTGAAAATCACGAGAAAGCCCCCAGCAGCCGCGAGAAGCGCGAGTCGAGACGGCAGAGGGGCCTGGAGCATGTGAAATTCCAGAACAAGCACATCCAGTCCTATAAGGAAGAGAGTGCTCTCCGAGAAGCTTCCGGAAGGGCAGGCCCAGAGCAAGAGGAAAACCTTCTGGAAGACCAGAAGGACAGCAGGGAAGAGGGTACCCCCTTGAATGCACAACTGGAGGCTGAACCCATATCCCCTGCAAAGCAGCCCCTGGACATTTCACAGGCTGTAGCAACCAGTGAGACCCCTGTGGACGCCCAGGAGGGGAGCCCAAGGCCTGACCGCACAGAGCGGCCCAGTAGCCTGGCCCTGGACAGCAGAGCTGGTGCCCCAGAGACCCCCAAGGACCGGAGCAGGCCAGACGCCAGCCCCCGGGACCAGCCTGACAGCCCTAGCACCTCAGCCCAGATCCAGCGGTACCGCGAGGCCGACTTGGATCGGCTGGCCAGTGCCGTGGAGCTGTGGCGCGGCAAGAATCTCATGAACACCAGGCCCTGCGCCATGCTGAGCCAGTCGCTGGACCTCAGCGAGCACCGCCGGGATGCCCTCACGCCCACAGAGTAAGCCCGGCACCTGCTTGTGTGTAAGCCCTGGGGACCTTCAGTCAGGGTAAGGGGCAGTGGGGGCTGTAGCCAGGCCTGGCCCAAAAACCGTCAAGCAGGTCCACACTCAGGAACACCACCAGAAGTGTGGACGCCCCAAGGAAGCAGAGGGTTGTAGGGGACAGGTGAGAGGCTCAGAGAAAATGAGGCCCCAACCCAGGACCCTGAGCCCTTGCAGAAACGGTAGGCTGTGCTCACACAGGAATCCCCTAGCCCAGCGAGAGGCCTCTCGGCAAGGTCCTGGGTCCACAGACCTGCCACCCTCTGTCTGGGCCTCAGCTTCCTCACCAATGAACCGATTGCTGACACGGTGACCCCGTGTGTGTCAGTAGAACTGTGCTCCAGAGGGTTTTTAATGGCTGATTTTTTGGAAATAGATCACCAGGCCTTTCTTTCAAGGCACCTGTGGGTGGACCCGAAACGCCAACCTTTCAGTTAGCAGCTGAGCACATTCACCGTTTGTACCCCGAGGGACTCCCCCAGTCAATGAATGGGGGCTCGTTGCACTGAGAAGGGGGCACAGCTGTCAGCTCACTGCCTCACACATAGTAAGGAAGATATCATTGACTCTAGCTTTCCAGCCCCTTGGAGTTTCCAGCTCCAAGTTTCCAGAGTGCCTGCCTGGGCAAAGAAAAGAATAGTTGGAGGAACTACTTAGGCCTTGTAGGAAAACAGGGTTTCTCTTCCTCAGCACTGCTGACATGTGGTTCTAGATCATTCTCTGTGCTGAGGACCGTCCTGTGTACTGTGGATTGTTGAGCAGCATCCCTGGCCTCCACCCACTTGATGCTCACAGCACCCACCCTTAGTCGTGACAACCACAAATGTTTCCAGGCATTGCCAAGTGTCCCCAGGGGTCAGAATCACCCTCAGTAAGCACCCCTAGGTTCGGGGATCCCACTGATCTCCAAGCGACTCTGTGTTCCATGATCATCTGACCTTCTGAATGACGTTGCGCACATTTAAATCCACACACTGAGTGAGGAGGAGAGAAATCAGAGGCTGGAGGAGCACCCCGGTTTGTACCGTCTAATCCATCACGAATTTTTTTGTTGTACAGTGTGAGGTAGGAATTGAACTCAAGTTTTTTCCAAATAACCGATGCAGGAATTCTCTGTCTCAGCACTGTTGACATTTGATTCCTGAACATTCTCTGGTGGTGGCCATCCTGTGCACAGTAGGGTGGTGAGCAACATCCGTGGCCTCTTCCCACTCGGTGCCAGCAGCACCTCCTAGACATGATGCTCCAAAATGTCCCCAGAAGTTGCCAGTATCCCCTGGGAGCAGAGTCACTCCAGGTGAGAACTGCCAGCCTAGGGCTGACTTCTACAAACATTAGCCTGTTTCTGTGGTTTTACAGAGAGAGACGCATCTCCTTATCCACAAGTGACGTCTCCGGCCTCCTCCCATCTCCAGCCAAGACCCAGGTACGGTGTCCAGCGTGGCGTGCACTCTGGGGTCTCTTTCACAGCCCCTCCCAGCCCGCACAGCCCTGCAGGGAGGGCCGTTTGGGAGCCAAGGGTTGGGGTATGTGGTGGGGTCTTGCTCTCCCTTCACTGACCCAGCCATCTCCTTGCAGTCCTTGTCAGAAACAGTGGACGGGGAGCCCAGCTCTAAGAAGCCAGTGGTCCAGAAGAAAAAGTCGGGTGACTCGGCCTCCATCACAGACGCGAGGCTGTACCCTAGTCCCCAGGCCGACTCCAAGTGAGTGCGGAAGGCAGCGGGGGAAGGGATGGGCAGGGTGCTCTGAGTCTCCGGCACGGCAGCCTGCTCTCCCTCACCACTCATGTGGACTAAGCATGATTGGGCAGGTGTTTTCTCTACACGTCCCCACGGTGGCTTGCAACCGCCCACCAGTGCCTGGAGCTGCAGCATGGCCATATCCAGCGAAGTACGCAGCTGAGACCTAGTTCCGGTGGGGGCCACCTCCTCTGGGCCCACAGATGACCAAAACCAGAGCTATTGCTGTCAAGTCAGCTGTGACTCACGGTGACCCCATGAGTATCAGGAGAACAACTGTGCTACACAGGGTTTTCAAATGGTGATTTTTCAGAAGTAGATCGCCAGGCCTTTCTACCAAGGTGCCTCTGGGTGGATTTGAACCCCCAACCTTTCGGTTAGCAGACAAGCACGTAATTATTTGCACTGTCCGGGAACTACCAACAGGCATACCAAACCAAAAACCAAACCTCTGGCCGTCAAGTCGATTCTAACTTACAGTGACCGTATAGGACAGAGTAGAAACTGCCCCACAGGAGTCCAAGGCTGTAGTCTTTACAGAAGCAGACTGCCACCTATTTCTCCCAGGTAGTGGCTGTGGGTTCAAACCACCAACCTTTCAGTTAGCAGCTGAGCACTTAACCAGTGCACCATCAGGACTCCTAATCAATAGGTATAAAACCAAACCCATTGCCACTGTGTCGATTCCAACTTTGTTTTTTTACCAATAGGTGTAGGAATGGTTAATTTTTATCTCACATAGCCACTGTGATTGATTAAAAACAGTTGCCGGATCAAGTCAACCCCTAATTCCTGGCAACCCCAGGTGTGTCATAGTAGAACTATGCTTCCTGGGTTGTCTTTTCTTTTTTTTTTTTTTTGTCTTTTTTAAATTTTATTGTGTTTTAGGTGAAAGTTTACAACGCAAATTAGTTTTTCATTCAAAAATTTATACACAAATTGTTTTTTGACAGTGGTTGCAATCCCCACAACATGTCAGCTCTCTCACCCTTTCGCTTTCCACCCTGGTTCTCCGTGTCCATTCATCCAGCTTTCCTGTCCCTTCCTGCCTTCTCAGCTTTGGTTTTGGGCAGGTGTTGCTCATTTGGTCTCGTACACTTGATTGAACTAAGAAGCACGTTCCTCACGTGTGTGATTGTTTGTTTTATAGGCCTGTCTAATTTTTGGCTAAAAGGTAGACTTCAGGAATGGCTTCAGTTCTGAGTTGGCAGGGTGTCCTGGGGCCATAGTCTCGGGGGTTCCTCCAGTCTGTGTCAGACCAGTAAGTCTGGTCTTTCTTTTTTGTGAATTTGAATTTTGTTCTACACTTTTCTCCCACTCTGTCCTGGACCCTCTGTTGTGATCCCTGTCAGAGCTATTGGTGGTGATAGCCGGACACCATCTAGTTTTTTGGGCTCAGGCTGGTGAGGCTGTGGTTTATGTGGTCCATTAGTCCTTTGGACCAGTATTTTCCTTGTGTCTTTGGTTTTCTTCATTCTCCTTTGCTCCAGAGGGGATGGGACCAATACACGTATCTCATCTTAGATGGCCACTGGCAAGCTTTTAAGACTGCAGACACTACTCACCAAAGTAAGATGCAGAACATTTTCTTTATGAACTATGCTATGCCAGTTGACCTAGCTGTCCCCCGAGACCATGGTCCTCAGTCCTTCAAGGTGTTTGGATGTGTCTAAGAAGCTTCTGTAACTTTGCTTTGTTCAAGGTGTGCTGACTTCCCCAATCCATAGGGTTTTCAATGGCTAACTTTTCAGAAGGAGATACCTCTGGGCACCTCTGGGTAGACTTGAACCTCCAACCTTTCAGTTAGCAGCAAGCACATTCACTGTATGCAGGAACCAGACAGATGGATTCTATTTGGCTCTTTCTGGAATCAAAACCAGCTCCCAGTCCACCCGTCTCTACCCCTGGGGACCCTTCCTGGGCCCTCAGATAGAAAATGCTGGGTTGAGGCCTGGTCCCCTGGAAGGCCCTGTGAAGATGTTTCATATGGGTTCTGTCACAGAGCAGAGAATGGGACATGGAACTGATGAGCTCTGATCCAGAACGCGAGTAATGGGGGGGCTAAGGAAGGGTGGTGCGTGGGGGCTCCCCACCACGGAGAGACCCCAGACTCCTCATCCGTGGAGTGACAGGCTGGCAAGGAGGGAGGTGAAGGGGGAAGGGCCCCAGCCATGCGGAGAACATCCGTCGCCTTCACTAAGGACACAAAAGTTGGCAACATGTAGAGGGGGCCAGCCCCTCTTCAGATCTTGCCTGGGGTCAGGGCTAGAGACCCTAGGGAGTAGGGAGGAGGCCATCCTGGGTGCTGCTCCTGGGGCAATCTCGAGAAGAAGGATGGTCACATGTGGTCAGCACTCAAGTGGCCATGACGGCAATGCCCAGGGTGGTAGCATCCACCCCAGAGGTGGCCTCCTTACCCCAGGCTCACAAGGAGCCAGGCTGCCTTCCAGATGGGGAAGCTGAGACACAGGAGGCAGCTCGTCAGGGCACCCCGGCTCTTCCTCAAATCAGTCATTAATTAGCCATGAGACAAGCCCATCCTTGTCGCGAGAGCTATCCCCAGCCGTGGTCCTGGCCACCCCCCACGACCAGGCTCATCCCTCCCCAGCCCCAGTGCCAGCAGCTGAACCCCCGGAAGCAGTCCCACGTGCCAGGGGTGCGCAGCGTCTGCCCCCCAGTGCAGCAGAGCGTCCACAGAAGCCTTGCACCAGGGTCACTTTCTTCTTTTCTTCTGATCATGAAAGTGACACTGGTTCACTGAAGAAAATTCAGACACAGGGAACTTGTGTGCTAGGAAATTGAGAGTCCCCACCATCTCCCCCACTTCCCTGGTGAGTGTCCTGGGGCCACCATAACAAATGACCACAAACTGGGTGGCTGAAAACAACATTCATTCATTCTCTCTCAGTCCTGGAGACCAGAAGTCCAAAATCAGGGTATCGGCAGGGCTGCACTCTCTCCGTAAGCTCCAGGGGAGGATCCTTACTTGTCTGTCTCAGCTTATGGTGGCTCCAGACTGTCCGGGGCTTGTGGCTGCATCACCCAGATCTCTGCCTCCATCGTCACATGGCCTTCTTCTCTGTGTGTGTCTATGTCTTCTCGCCTTATAAGGACACTTGTCATTGGACTTACGGTCCACCAGATAATCCAGAATGATCTTATCTTGAGATTCTTAACTATGTCTACAAAGACCCTTTTACCAAATGTCTTCAGTCTCCTAGGGCAGCCGTAGCAAAAAATACCACAAGTAGGTGCTTTAAAGAACAGAAGTTTATTGTCTCACAGTTTTAGAAGCTAAAACTCCAAATCAGGGTCACAGCCTCGTCGATTCTTTCTGTGAGCCACTCTCCTGGTTTCTGGCAATCCTTGGTGTTCCTTTGCTTGTAGACAGGTCCTCACATGACATGTGTCTTCCCCCGTGTGTGTGTGTGTATGTGTGTGTGTGTGTGTGTTTCCCTTTTTATAAGACACCACTCAAAAGGGATTAGGTTTAGGACCCACCCTAATGGGTCCCATATGGCCTCATTAACATAACAGAGAAAACCCATATGTCCAAACGGGGTTACTTTCACAGGTACAGGAGTAAGGACTTTTATGTATCTTTTTAGGGGACACAGTTTAATCCATAACACCAAACAAGGTCACATTCACAGGTTTTGGGGGCTAGGATATAGACATATTGGGGGGCAGCCACCATTCAACCCACTATACCCAGTAGCCACGGTTCATTGTTGGGTGTTTTTTCTTCCTGAATTTTTTCTAGGCTTCTTGTTAGTTGCCATTGAGTCAGCTCTGACTCTTGGCAGCCTTAAGTACAACAGAACAAAACGTTGTCTACTCCTGTCCCATCTTCACAGTCATTGGTACGTTTGAGTCCATTGATATGGCTGTTGTGCTAATCCATATCATTGAGGTTTCCCTCGTTTTCACTGATCCTCTAATTTAAACGTGGCCAAAGTAAGTGAGTCTTACCATCTTCCCTTCTAAGGAGCATTCTGTTGTATCTCTTTTAAGACAAATTCATTCAGTCTTCTGGCAGTCCACAGCATATTCAATATTCTTTTTTTTTTTTAATATTTTATTTTGTTTTCAGTTAAAGATTGTGTTCCCATTTGACAATTTCTACACAAGTTGTTCAGTGACATTAGTTACATTTTTCACAATGTATTAACATTCTCTTTGTGTTCTGGTTGTTCCGTTTCCAGTCCTCTAGTTTGCCTGTCCTCCTTATCTTCTCATCTTTGCTTTAAAGTAATTGTTGGCCTTTTGGTCTCATAGCTGGTTTTTTAATGGAGCACCATACTCACAGGTAATATTCTTTATTTTGTGTGCCACTCTGTTATTTCGCTAAAAGGTGACCTCGGGATACTTACAGTTCAAAGGTTGAGGAGTATCTCAGATAGGATGGTCTTATCATATGTCATAATACAGTATATCTCCTTAGGCTATAGCAAGGATATCAAGGCAAGCATAAATGTAATTTGACTTGAGTTTGCATACCAAAATAGTCTTTATCTTCACACTGTGCCTTTAACTAATTACCTTAAAAACGTACTATTAACTGCAGTCTGTACTTACGAGGCAATTAAAAGAACCACACATACACAATTATCATTATTGGAATTTGGTACAGAATGCAGCTGACCTGGACCAGGTTTTGTCTTTGAAAATATATACAGTAAAGGGTATTGCTAGATTCTGCTCAATTCTTACGTAGTTTATGCTCATTGTAGTATCTTATTCTAAACATAATATTAAGATCCTTATGTACCATGTTTTCCTCGAAGACTCTATAAACCCTCACATTTAAAAACTTAGTTCCCTCTTGTAACTGAATGTCATTATTCTCTTATATGCAATAAGTCAGTGTTTAGCATCCTATGTAAAATTAACTTTCGTATCTTGAGGGGGGAGAAAAAAGAGTATTTCAGGGCAGTAGTCTCAGGGAGTCCTCTAGTCTCAACTGGTCCAGTAAGTCTGGACTTTTTAAGAATTTCAATTCTCTTCCTCGTTTTTCTCCCATTCTGTCAGGGTCCATCTGTTGTGGCCCTGATCAGAACGGTCGGTAGCAGTAGCTGGGCACCATCTAGTCCTTCGGTCTCAGGGTAGATGAGACCGTGGCTCATGTAGACTATGAGCTCTGTGGACTAGTTTCTTCTCTGAGACTTTGGTTTCCTTTATATTCAGTATTCTTTGCCAACACCATAATGCATCAGTTCTTCTGTCTTCCCTTTTCATTGTCCATTCTAGCCATGTACCTGTATGAACATGTGAGGGGGCAGCTTATAGTTTTATTATGTTTATATGAAAATGAGGTCATGCTGTAACTTCCATTAAGATTTAGCATCTTGCTTTTTCTGGTAACTCCTGTCAGTTCCTACAAATCTGCCTTATTTTTAGTAGCATTTCCATCTCATCGATAATGAAGACAAGGGCTTGTTCTCTCTTTAGTAAGGTGGCCCTTTGTTTTCTCAAACTATTGAGCATTCAACGATCCCTGGTGGCACAGTGGTTAAACACCCATCAGTTCAAAACTACTAGCCACGCCATGGGAGAAAGATACGGCAATCTGCTTCCGTAAAGATTTACAGCCTTGGAAACCCTATGGGGCAGTTCTCTTCTGCCCTGTAGGGTTGCTATGAGTTGGAATCAACTCAGCGGCAACGGGTTTGGGGTTTTTTTTTGTACCGAGCATTTTTGTGGGCAGTGGTGGTTAAGTGGTAGAATTCTCTCCTTCCATGTGGGAGACCCAGCTTCAGTTCCTGGTGAATGCAGTTCATGAGCAGCCACCACCTGTCTGTCAGTAGAGGCTTATGTGTTGGCTGTGGTGCTGACCAGGTTTCAGCGGAGCTTCCAGACTGAGATGGACTAGGAAGAAAGGCCTGGTGATCTGCTTTTAAAAATCAGCCAGCAAAAACTCTATGGATCCCAATGGTCCAGTATGCAACCTATCATGGGGATGGTGCAGGACCAGGCAGCATTTCTTTCTGTTGTGCGTGGGTACACCGTGAGTTGGGGCTGACTCGATGGCAGCTCAGAACAGCAACAAATCACCTGTCCATGCTGTGCCAGTCAGAGAAAGACCAGGCCTCGTGTCCACTTCCATCTCCTGAGACATAAACCGGACCTCTCACCTTCTCCTGCAGGTCTGCGTTCAAGAGGCTCTTCCTGTATAAGAACAAGGATAAGAAGTATAGTCTGGAGGGTGTGGAGGAGGTGGAGAACACAGGATCTGGGCCCGCTGTACTGGAAGCTGCCACTTCGAAGAAGAGTCTAGAAGGTCAGGTGCCACAGCCTCAGGGGCCGGGGACAGAACCTCCAGGGACTATGGGGACATTGACCAGGGGCCATGGGCCAAGGGTACAGGGTGCTCCTTTGAGGTCCTGGTTCTGTGCAGCTGGTAACCTCTCTTTGTTCTGCTCGTCCCCCAGGGGGCTGGCTGCGTTCCTCACCCAGATCCCACCCTCACCTGCTGTCCTCCCCTCCCACAGCCCCCTCCAGCTCCCAGCACCGCCACCCGGCAGGAGAGAAGCCCGCCAAAGAGCCAGGAGGCAAAGGGAAGAAGAACCGAAACCTCAAGATCGGCAAAATCACGGTGTCTGAGAAGTGGCGGGAGTCGGTGTTCCGCCAGATCACTAACGCCAATGAGCTCAAGTACCTGGATGAGTTCCTGCTCAACAAGGTGGGCCTGGGCAGGGTGGCGGGGAGGGACAGACACCAGGCGGGGTACTCCACCAGACTTAGTGCATCAGGCATAGAAAATCCAGATCCAAAATTCCAACACACAGAAGGTTCTGGAAGCCAAGCGCTTATTCTAAAGTTTGGCACAAACTTCTTTTGGCAACCCTGGGTAGTGCAACACACTTAGCTGCTAACCAAAAGGTTGGCAGTTCTAGTCCCCCCAGAAGAGCCTCAGAAGAAAACTTCTAAAACATCAGCCGTTGAAAACCGGCCAGAGCACAGTTCTACTCTAACACACGTGGGGTCGACATGAGTCGGAATCGACTTGACAGCAGCTGGTTTAGTCTTTTGACAAAGCCTAACCTGGGTTCATGGGAGACAATTTATAGTCTGCGTTTCTCCCAATGTGAGCTTTTCTATTTCCCTGCAAAATATCAGTGAGTGTTTGTCTCAGTTACCTAGAGCTGCTCTAACACAAATACTACCAGCAGGTGGCTTTAAAGAATAGACAGTTATTGTCTCACAGTTCTGGAGGCTGGAAGTACGAATTCAGGACATTGGTGGGGTCATCTCTCTGCCAGCTCTAGGGGAGGGTCCTTGCTTTTCTCTTCCAGCTTCTGTAGCCCCGGCTGTTCTTTGCCTGTAGATATATCCTCACATGATGTCTTCCCCTTGTGTGACTCTGTTTCTGTGTCTGTTCTCCCTTTTTATAAAACACCACTCAGAAGGGATTAGGTTTAGGATCCACCCTACTCCAGTATGACTTCATGTTAACCTAAATAATAACATCTTCAGAGACATTATTTCCAAACGAGTTCATGTTCACAGGTACTGGGGTTAGGACTTGAACATATCCTTTTGTGGGACACAGTTAAACCCATAACAAGTATGTCCCACGTAAACAAGCATGGCTGGCACTTGGGGGTGTCCCCCACCTGGGCTGGAGGTAGACACTCAGGGTGATTCCTACAGATGGCACAGCATTGGAGAGCTTGCCAGGTCGGCGGTGCACTCATGGGGAGGCTAAAGGGTTGGGGGCCCCACAGAGAGCAGAGACACCATGAAAAGACCCAGCCTATTTGATGCAACCCCAGTCCTGGGTACAGCATCAAATGCCTGTGTGGGCTGCAGCAAGGGCGCAGGTGAAGCTGCAGTTCTCAGAGAGGGTGATTCTGACCCCAGGGGATACTGGGCAACATCTGGGGATGTTTTGGTTGTCTCAGCTGGGAGAGGGGCAGTGCTACTGGCATCAAGTGGGTGGAGGCCAGGGATGGTGCTCAACACCCTACAGTGCACAGGACAGCCATCACCACAGAGAAGGATCCGGCCCACGATGTCAGTAGTTTTAACCACTTGCCGTCGAGTCCACTCTGACTCACAACGACCCCGTGTGTGTCAAGGTAGAACTGGGCTCCACAGAGTTTTCAGTGGCTGATTTTTCAGAAGTAGATTGCCTAGCCTTTCATCTGAGTCACCTCTGGGTGGTCTCGAACTGCAGCCTTGCAGTTAGCAGCCAAGCACTTAACTGTTTGCACCACCCAGGGACTCCATATATCTAATAACAGTTTAATAGCCAGAACATATAAAGAACTACAACTGAACAACAAAAAGACAAATGACCCAGTCAAAAAATGGGCAAAAGACTTGAATAGACATTTCACCAAAAAGGATATACAAATGGCCAACAAGCACATCAGCATCAGTAATCATTAAAAAAACAAAACCAAACCAGTTGCCATTGAGTTGATTCCAATTCATGGTGACCCCATGTGTATCAGAGTAGAACTGTGCTCCACAGGGTTCTCAGTGGCTGATTTTTTGGAAGTAGCTCTCCAGGCCTTTCTTTCAAGGCACCTCTGGGTGGACTCAAACTGCCAAACTTCCAGTTAGTAGCCGAGCATGTTGACCATTTGCACCACTCAGGGACTCCATTGATAGTTCAAATCCCAAACGTACAAGATCGGCAACCCTGGGCCTGGCAGGCCAGCAGAACTAGATTTTTATCCAGGGCAGGACTAGGGATAAGACAAAGCCAAGACCAGGCTGGGTCCCCTTGAGCAAGCAGTGATGCATGACCAGCTCATCCCCTCCTCTCAGATCAACGACCTACGCTCCCAGAAGACCCCCATTGAAAGCTTGTTCATTGAGGCAACCGAGAAGTTCCGCAGCAACCTCAAAACCATGTACTCCGTGCCGGTGAGCAGCCCTCCACATTGCCCGGCCCCCTTCCCTGCTGCGCATCAAGGCCACAAGGTTCACGCACACGAGGCGGCTCACACGCCCATGGTGCCTCCTTCCAGAACGGGAAGATCCACGTGGGTTACAAGGACCTGATGGAGAACTACCAGATAGTGGTGAGCAACATGGCGGACGAGCGCGGCGAGAAGGACACCAACCCAGTGCTCAACCTCTTCCAGACCCTGCTGGACGAGTTCACCCGCGGGCACTCCAAGAGCGACTTTGAGGCCCCTAAGGTAGGCCCCAGGGCAGGCCCATCACCACCCCGCAGCGCCCTGGGTTACTGCTCTCCCAAGTCGGGATCTCCAGAGGGGGGAATGGGGACAGGGATGGGGATCGAGCTGCTGTCCTCTGGCCCACACCCTAGGGGGAGTCAAGGTCTCTAGATGTGGTCAGGGGGTACTGAGGGGCAGGTTGGGACACTCTGTCCCTCTGGCCCCTGTGGACGAGCCTCTCTGCCCCTTCTCCCCCTCCCACAGCAGAGCAAGTCTCAGAAGAAGCGGAAGCAGGAGCGTGCTGTGAGTGTGTGTCCGCCCCAGACAGCCTTAGCCCCGAGTCCTAAAGGCTTGGTCCTGAGGCCACAAGCCAGAGTGGGGGGCTGGGAGGAGCAGGAAGAAGGGGGCCCACTCAGCCACCTTCCCCTGCCTGCCCCCCAGGTGCAGCAGCACAACGGGCATGTGTTCGCCAGCTACCAGGTGAGCATCCCCCAGTCGTGCGAGCATTGCCTCTCCTACATCTGGCTCATGGACAAGGCTCTGCTGTGCACCGGTGAGCACCCCCTATGCAGCCCCCCACCACACACTCCCAGACACCCCCCATTACATGTAGCCAAACCACCCCCTGTGCATCCCTGAACTTCCCACTGCACATCCCGATCCCACCCATGTACCCCAAGCCCCCATCACACACTCCCCACCCTTACTGTATGCCTCCTAACCCTTCCACCACATGTAACCCAGACCCCCCAACTGAGTAGCCCTGACCCCTACGACACCCCCAGAGCTCCCCACTACATACCTCCAGACTCCCCATCATGCCCCCAACTGCCATTGTGCACCTTAACCCCCCACTGCATCCCCAGTCCCCTGCCATGCCTCCCAATAGACACCCCACCATATAACTCCCAATCCCCCATGCTTGTCCCCTACCCCCGCAGTGTGTCTCCAAACCCCACCATGTGCTGCTCCTGCCCAAACACAGTACTCCCCAGCCCTCGCATCACCCCTCTGACCCTCACTGCATGCCCCATAATCTCTACCATATGGCCCCCACCACTTGCCCCCAGCCCACCACTGACCCCCCCGCCACACACCCCTGGCCCCCTAGACTGCCTTTGACCTACTCTCTGGCCTCCTAGCGTGCAAGATGACCTGCCACAAGAAGTGTGGGTACAAGATCCAGACCTACTGCTACTACACGTGCAGGCAGGAGGTGAGGGCAGCAGGGGCTTAGAACCTTCCAGAATGATGCCCATTCCATCCAGAACCAGGTGCCTGGGGGAAGCCTGTGGAAAGAGATGTGAAGGAGTGGGTGTGCTCAGCAGGGGCAAGTGAGAGCGGGAGCAGGGCTGCTGCGGAGGGCTAGGGCTGCTTCTGTAGCTGCCATCCTCACGACTGGCTGTACCTCCACCTTTGTCTGCCCCCACATCCATCTGCCTCTCCCAGAACAGGCCTGCCCTTATGTGCATCTCAGACCCCGCCGCTGTTCCTTCCTCCTCCAGGGGACCCTGCGGTGGGGGAAGCCCTCACAGCGCAAGAGCTGGGTCACTGCTGTGGGTGCCGGGAGCCCTCTCCCCAGGAAGAGCCACCCAGGGATGCTCTAGGAGCTCCTGCAGGACCATGGGGCAGCTGCATGAGATGGATGAGGGATGGAGTTTATAGCGGTGGCTGTAGCCTGCAGAGAGGGAGGTCAGGAGGTGGCTGTGGAGAACAGGCCCTGAGCCGGATCTTGCCCTGCCCTGCTTCCACGCTGCAGGTGGAGCCAGGCGCAGAACCGGGCCACTTCGGCGTGTGCGTAGACAGCCTGACCAGCGACAAGGTCTCGGTGCCCGTCGTGCTGGAGAAACTTCTGGAACATGTGGAGATGCACGGCCTGTACACTGAGGGCCTCTACCGCAAGTCGGGCGCCGCCAACCGCACACGGGAGCTACGACAGGCGCTGCAGACAGGTGGGCCCTGCAGACGGGTAGATAATGCGGGCAGGTGGGTGCTGCGAGCAGCTAGGCACCACAGATGAATAGGACTTGTGGACAGTAGGCACTGCAAACAGGTGGGCACTGTGGACAGCTAGGCTTGCGAACAGGTAGGTGTGGACAGGTAGTCACCTGACCTCCTCACCCGCCCTGCCTCCCTCCCCTGCAGACCCCGTGGCGGTCAAGCTGGAGAACTACCCCATTCACGCTATCACGGGAGTCCTGAAACAATGGCTACGTGAGCTGCCTGAGCCCCTCATGACTTTTGCCCAGTATAACGACTTCCTCCATGCTGTTGGTGAGTCCCCGGGCTGGAGCTGCAAGCCTGAACTAGGGACTCGCTGGGGGATGGGCAGGGCAGCAGATGGGGCTGGGCTGGGGAGGGGAGGGGGCAGAGCCAGGAAGGGCTGGGAGGTGGGCGGGACCAGGGCTGAGCACTCCCGGTTCTAGCCGAGCTTGGGAGGCCGCAGCTGGGTGGGATTGAGGGGGGCTCGGAGGGGCTTCAGGGCGCTGACCCTTACCACCCTACTTCCTGTAGAGCTGCCTGAGCGACAGGAGCAGCTGGCTGCCATCTACGCTGTCCTGGACCACCTGCCTGAGGCCAACCACAACTCCCTAGAGCGGCTCATCTTCCACCTTGTCAAGCAAGTGCCCCCTACCCTCGCCCTGGGTGGTTTGGGGACCCTTCCACCTTCCTGCCTCGTCAGGGCAGGGCCGTATTGGGGAGGGGGTGCCTGCGTGCTTTGAACATTCTCCACCGCTGGGCTGAGAGCAGTCCTTTCCTGCGGGTGACTCCAGGGTTCGTGTCTGGGCACAGCTCCCTGGGCCTGGGGGTGCCGCCTTCATGCCACCCGCCCCCGCAGGGTGGCTCTGCTCGAGGATGTGAACCGCATGTCACCTAGTGCCCTGGCCATCGTCTTCGCGCCCTGCCTGCTGCGCTGCCCCGACACCTCTGACCCGCTGACCAGCATGAAGGATGTGCTGAAGATCACCACGTGAGTGCCTGCCCACCCTGGATTCCACGGCCACAGGGACGCAGATCACAGTCCTTCGCTGCTGAACGTGACCCACTGTACAGGGAAAAGTCCCGGCACATGGAGACACCCAGGAGTGGTCGCAGAGCTGCAGAGCTGTAGCTGTGGGGTTGTACACAGCACTTGCAGGGCTTAGGGGGGAGCACGGGGGTCTCTGGGCCCCCTTCTTGCCCCCTGGCTGTGTCTGAGTCCCCTTCGTGGCCTCACGCACAGGTGCGTGGAGATGCTGATCAAGGAGCAGTTGCGAAAGTACAGGGTGAAGATGGATGAGATTAGCCAGCTGGAGGCTGCTGAGAGTCTCGCCTTCCGCAGGCTCTCGCTGCTGCGGCAGAACACTGTGAGCAAGGGGCGCAGGGGTGGGCAGGGGCTGGGAGTAGGGCCTGATGGAGGGTCTGGGGTTGGAGGGGTGGGTGACATGGGAGTCTGGGGGTGGGCCAAGGGATAGGGGAAGCTGGTGCTGCGGAAAGACTAAGTGGGGAAGCCAGGGGTCCATCTGAGTGTCAGAGTGCTGGGCTGTGCCAGGGGCATGGGGACTGAGTCAGGGCTGGGCAGGGCCAGGGAACCAGGTCAGGGGACTAGAGAGCCAGGGCTAGTCTGGGGAAGGAGGGCATGCTCCGCCCGGGGCTGCCTGGCTGGGAACCTCGACTCCGGGCTTCTATCCATCAGCCCCCATCCATCCCCAGGCAGCGCTAGGTCGACTCCCTCTCTAGGGCAAAGAGGGTGCAGCGACCCCTATTCGTGGCTGGGTTCATCATCAGCCTATTTTTGCTGGCCTGGCCTCGCCCACAGGGGAAACACCCCCGCAGCAGCAGGGCGGGGGTGGGGTAAGAACGCTCTGCCTGTCCAGGCAGCCGACTCAGTCCCCCACCTTGTGCCCTGTGGTCACCCTTCCTTCATCTTTCCCCCAGCCATGGCCTCTCAAACTGGGGTTCTCATCTCCCTACGAGGGGGTCCTGGTATGTACGCATGGGGGACCACAGTGCATGCCTCCCCTACTTCGGTGCAAGCTGAGCTCCCCTTGACCCTGGGGTCCTCGTAGGCTAGACTGCACCCTAACCTTCCAGAAGTGCATGCTGGGGGCAGCCCCTTGCCACCCCTGGAGAAGGGGCACTCACGCCTCCACATCACAACTAACCCCACAAGCTGCTTACATCCCCCTTTAGCCACCTCAGGCATTAACCCCACCAACCAAGGCACTGGCCGGTTTAAAAATGGTTAAGCACTCAACTGCTACCCAAAAGGTTAACAATTCAAACCCACTCAGTGGTGCCATGGAAGAAATGCCTGGCAATCTTCCAAAAGTTCACAGCCTTGAAAGCCCTATGGAGCAGTTATACTCTGCACACATGGGTTCGCCGTGAGTCAGAATCAACTTGATGGCAACTAACAATAATACCTCTTTCAGAACAAGAGCCCCAAAGCTTGCCCAGAGGAGCTGGGTGTGTTGCCTGAGGAGGAGGCAGCCGTGGCAGCTGGGGATGATGAGGACCGCGAGAAGGAGATCCTCATGGAGCGCATCCAGTCCATCAAGGAGGAGAAGCAAGTGTCCTGTGGTCGCCAGGGTGGCTGGTGGTGGGCTCCATCCTGGGGGAAGGGGGTCCTTGTAGTCCCCACTGTCCTCACTGCCTAAACCCTGTGCCTGCCCACAAGGCCCCAGGGTAGCTCACAAGGAGGGCAGGGGCAGTGCCCAGCTTTTTCTTTAAGTTGGTGTCTGCTAGGACAGTCGATTGTCGCCCAATCAAAGGGCAAGGGGATGCTGTTAAAAGTGATACTGCGGAGTCCCTGGGTGGGGCAAACAGTTAAGTGCTCAGCTGCTAACGAGAAGATTGGGGTTTAAACCCACCCAGACACACTTTGGAAGAAAGGCCAGGCAGTGTACTTCCATTAAGACTACAGCCAAGAATCCTCTAGGGGAGGATAACCTGAAGTTACATTTCAAAGAGGAAGCTTCCAGGTCCTTGAGTTAACACCTTAGGTTTGCATTAGTTTTCACAGACAAAGAAAGAATTTACAATGGCAAGTTATCTAAAGTGAATTCTGAAAGAACAGGGGAGGAGGGAAGCTTCAAGAAAAGTCATGTTCCTAGCACATCTAGGATCAGGGAGACCAAGATTCAGACCTGCTACCATCAGAGCCCCTGGGTGGCAGCTCGAACCCATGCAGCAGGCACCTCGGAAGAAAGGCCTGGTGATCAGCTTTCTAAAGGTCACAGCCATAAAAACCCTATGGAGCTGGCTCCAGCATGTCCCACAGGGACATAACTGGCACACATGGGGTTGTGGTGGGTTGGAGTCAACATAACAGCAACTGGTTTGGTTTCTGGCTTTCCCGAGTTCAGCATAAACCAATTTAAATGCTCAGGCACAGTATCTACTTCTTTGTGACTTGATTTAAAAAAGAAAATACACAAACGTGATGTCAGAACAGGTGGAAACTCTGGTCTTGGGAAGGTGGAGAGTTAACAGTGCATGCAAAGGCCCTGTGGTGTCAGCTCAGGTTTGGGCTCAGAACTGGGAGGGGCCGGGGCATTCCACAGGGCGACCTTGAACCCCTCACCCCGTTCCCAGGGAGGACATCACCTACCGGCTGCCTGAGCTTGACCCGCGCGGCTCAGATGAGGAGAACCTGGACTCTGAGACATCAGCTAGCACAGAGAGTCTGCTGGAGGAGCGGGCCGGACGGGGGGCCGCGGAAGGTCAGTATTAAGGTAGTGTGCGCTTTCTTCCTTCCCGTCCGCCCGAGCAAGGTGGGGCTGTAGTGTGGAGCTGCGCTGACCCTGCCATCTGTCTCCCAAGGGCCCCTCGCGCCTGCTCTCCCCTGCCCCGGTGCACCTGCCCCGAGCCCCCTCCCCGTGGTGGCCGCGGTGGCAGCCCCTCCACAACGCAGGCTGTCGTCCTTCGCGACGGTCCGAGTGAAGACCCCCCGGCGCACGCCCATCATGCCTATGGCCAATATCAAGTTGCCTCCCGGCCTGCCCGCCTACCTGCCTGGCCAGGCAACCCAGACCCGCGAGTCCTGGGTCTCTGTGCGGCGCCGTGAGCCACCAGCCCACCGCCCAGACCTGGTGCACTCAGTGTACATGGCGCCCGGCGCTGAGCTGCCCGCGCAGGCTGCCCGCCAGGCCCTGGATGAGGAGGAACGGCCCCCCGGCGCCAAGCGGAGGTACTCAGACCCCCCGACATACTGCCTGCCCCCCGCCCCAGACCAGGCGAACAGCTGAGGGCTGCAGCTGGCCAAGCCCAGGCGTCTAAGGACAGCCCAGTACGGAGAGAGTGGATCCACTGAGCGTGCAGGACATGCTGGAGCCAGGTCCGGATGCCTCGCTGCAGCGCCAGCGTCGGTTTTCTAGAAGGATCCAGAAGAGTGCCGCGCACGTGTGGTCCAAGATGCGCACTGGCACAGTGCGGGGCCCAGCAGGGAGCAGCGAATCAGGCCACCTCTGCCTCCCTCCCCTATGGCTGTCCCGCCCAGTCCCCGCGGGAGGCCCCACGTGGCCACCTCCGCTTTGTACGTTTTGATGGTAACTTCGTTTGTACATGGTTTACATAACTTGAAACTGTAACAGCCTTAACGGGAGACCAAATCGTTTTTTGTTTTGTTTTTATAAATATATGTATATGTAAAAACTTGTATGTTAACCCTGTGCATCCTCCTTGAACCTGGACGCGAGTCGCCAGTGGAGTAGACGGGTGCCGACACGAAGCCACGCTCCGGAATCGCAGGCCAGCGCTGTGGCCGGATTGGGGTCATTGGGTCATCGGGCCTTTGGAGGATGTGGACACTTGGAGCATCTGGCAGTGCTGAGGACCTTGCAGATGTGCCCGGCTCCACAGGCACCTCACGTCGTCGTGGAGTGTTGGAGCCGTCTGTGGGTTCAGGGGTCTCCGCACGATCCAGGACGCCAGGCAGGAGTGGCCTCTGCCTGTGGCACCACCAGACCTCACCTCCCCCGGAGTCAGGTCCCGGCGGGACAAGCGTGGCCAGGCTCTCTGTGTCTGCTGTGCTCTGGACACAGCTCCCTCTTGCTCCTGGCCCCTGTAGCACAACAGGAGTGGCCTGCCTCGGGGCTTCTCCAGGTGAGGCCTGTGGTTTCACATCCCTGGCAGTCAATAGTGGCAACTTGGGGGATTCGGGGAGTGGGGTTCTTTCTCCCAGGCTCAGCCCCCTCCCCCAGTTACCTTGACACGTGAAATAAAGAAAAAGTGCCTGAGACATGTTTGTGTGTGACTCCTGTCTTCAGGGCTGGGCTGGAGGGGAGGGGGCTGCAGGAGGGTGGGGTCAAAGAGGAACGCCGGGCGGCGGATGGTGCTTCGTGGCCCGTAGTGGTGGGACGACACGCTTGATCCGTCAGCAGATGCTGTTTGGGTGACTTGCTCAACGGCTCAAGGGGGTAGTTATCGATCGGGAAAGAGGGTGGGGAGCGGGGAGCACCTGCAGAGCCTCATCCAGCAGGGGCCGTCTCCTGTTGCCCCACTTTACCAGTGGGGAAACTGAATCTCACCAAACTGAAGCTCACTGCCTAGGCGTCTGCCTAGCTGGAGCTTGTCACCCTAAATGTCACCTGCAGGGTCCCCCAACCCCGCAGAGCCAGAAGCAACCGCCCTGCAGAGGGGCTTGCAGGCTACAATCCGGTAGGTGGGGCTGGTGGGCTGGGGTGGGGGATGGTGTGGACCGAAGCCCAAGTCGCTCTGGGCCCAGAGGGAGAGGAAAACTCTGCAACTAGCCAACGCTGCTGTGTGCCAGGCCTAGGCCCTCGGCTCTTCCCAGTGGCTGCGCAAGGTGGAGTTTCCTGTCCCTTTCATTCCAGATGGGAAAGACACACCCCAGTGGTCCAGGCCTCAGCCAAGGCCACCCAGCAGGAAGGAGAGGACGAAGAGAGGGTGGGGGCAGAAGCTGCCCTGTCTGGCTCTGGAGACCGGCTCTAAAGCCCTTTTCTTTACCCGCCCTGGGTTTGGTCTCCCCCTCGGTATTTTGCAAGGACACCGGTCCCATCAGTGTTGTGGAGCACCCTGCTCACCCCGTCCATTCCAGGAGGTGGTTCTGCAGGCCTGGGGAGCTCGCAGGACAGAGTGTGCAGAAGTACAGATGGGCTCCTCTTACAGACAATAAAACCAGGGAGGAGGAATCCTCAGATTCCAAAGACCCGGGCCAGGGCCTCTCCCCCACTAGAAAGCAAGGAAGGCTGCCTGGAGGCGGAGGAGTTCAGCAGGGTAACAACCCAGGCAAGAGTGGGTGTTGGGGAAACATTTTGAGCAGGGAGGAACGGAATGAGCAGAAAGAGCGTTGCAGGCCGTGCTGACACCAGCTGACCAGTTCCCTCCAACTCTTCAGGAAAGGCTTAGACCCTCGCGAAGCCAAGCAAGCAATTCAGCTCTGGATAAACGTGGACGGGACGGCGCCTCTCCTCGAAACAAGGGATTACTTCCGCCCTAAACAAACATGGACCAGAAAACACCGGCAGAAAAAAATAAAAGAAGGTACTTCCGCCCTTCCTTAAGATGGCCCAGGCGGAAAAGGCGGAGCATCGCTCGGTGGTGATGGCGGCGTCGAGGCTAGAGCTGAATCTGGTGCGGCTGCTGTGCCGCTGCGAGGCGATGGCGGCGGAGAAGCGGGACCCGGACGAGTGGCGTCTGGAGAAGGTGAGAGGGGCCCGCGCTGCCGCCACATAAATCCCAACTCCCAGAGGCTGGTCTCCGGAGCTAGCGGCCACCTTGCCCAACTCCCCCTCCCCAACAGCCTCCCTGGCCTCGCCCCTTCCGGTCGGCCCCCACGTCCACCTGTAGCTCCGCCTCCGTTCCTGAGACTCCGCCCCTCCCGCTCGCCACGCCTCCTTGACGTTTGGCTCCTCCCTGGTCCTGCCCCTTACCCTGGCTCTGACTCCTACAAGTGGGACCTGGTTGGCGGGACAGCTGACATCCCATTTTCTCTTCCCAGTACGTGGGGGCCCTGGAGGACATGTTACAGGCCTTGAAGGCCCAGGCGAGGTGAGTGCAGGCGACCCTCAGAGGTTTCAAACACAGGGGTTGGGGGCACAGGAGAGCCGGCTGGGACCCTCCCCTGGGGCTGGGGACGGTGGACAGATTTTCTTTTTCCTCTTGTCGCCTCCCAGTAAACCAGCCTCCGAGGTGATCAATGAATACTCTCGAAAGGTGGACTTTCTGAAGGGGATGCTGCAGGCAGAGAAGCTGGTGAGCCGGACACCTCTGCCGTCCCTATTATGCTCCCCCCGTCTCTGGGACCCACCCCTTCTGTGATCCCTCTTCCTATGTCTCTTCAGACCTCATCCTCAGAGAAGGCACTAGCCAACCAGTTCCTAGCTCCCGGCCGTGTGCCAACCACAGCCCGGGAACGGGTGCCTGCCACGAAGACAGTACATCTACAGTCGAGGGCGAGGTACACCGGCGAGATGCGGAGTGAGCTGCTAGGCACGGTAGGGCCCTTTCCAAGTCCCTGGAACCCTCTCGGGCTGGGGGTTCCAGAATGACAAATACTGTCAGGTACAAGCACCTTAGAAGGCCCAACAGCCTCTTCCCTGGTGCCAGGTGAGAGGTATTGTGGACAGGGTTTTGCTGGATGAATAGTTCGAGGTAGAAGGCCCGCACCTAGTTACATCCCAGAGCTGGCCAGAGCAGAGTTCAACTGCTGGCTTGCCACTTACCACAGGATGGGCAAGTTCATTCCTCCTATAAAATGGAATGACAAGTGCTTTTCTGAGCATTTTATATCAGTCAGCTCACTCTTACAAAGTAGGACCTGTAGTTGTTGCTAGCTTATAGATGAGGAAATTGGGACTCAGAGGTCACAGGGCTTGCCCAGGGCCCCGACTGAGGATGGGGAGGGTCTGAGAGCAGAAAGGACAAGTTTGGGGGCAGGATAGAGTAGTTGACTTTATGTCTCTCTCTTTTCCATGCAGGACTCTGCTGAGGGTGAGTTACCCTGAACAGAACAGGATTCAAAGCCCAACTGCCTGGGGCAAGACCCTACTGCTCCACGTCCCTGGGGCCCAGCCTGTTTCCCACAGGGACTTCCACAGCCCAGGGAGGGTGTCCCTGGGGGCATCATTAAGTCAGGCCTGGAGTGAGGGTCTGAGGCAGAGGAGGCGGCCCTGGAGGAGACAGGGCTTGTCTAGGAGGGTCCTGGGAAGCCCAGATGGCAGTGGGAAATGCTTCCAAGACGAGGAGCATTCAAGCTGGGGCTTTGAAGCATTGTCAGGAGCCCACTAGGCAGCAGACGAGATAGGGAATGGCATCCTGAGTAGGAGGCATAGTAACAGGCAAAGGCCGGGGGGCTTGAAAGCTGGAAACCAATCCTCCCCCTTCTTCCTGCATGTCCTGTTCCGCTTGCAGAGCCTAGGCTGGACATAAGGAAACGAACGTGAGTGTCTCTGGACCCCCAGCAGTGTACGTATGGGTAGAGGGAGATGGGCAAACTGGGGGCCACTGAGGCACCTCAGGGCTCTAAACAACCCATCAGAAGCCACTTTCTGGAGATGCTTTTCCCAGAAGCTGAAGCTAAGAAGGGGAAACTAAGGCCCCAAGTATGGGGCAGTAGCTGGAGCTGTGGCCTCTGGGCTCCCTGCAAACATGGCAGTCTCTTCCCCTCTCCCACCCCACCTCTTATGCCCACCTGTCCACCCATGTGTGGTGCCAGCGGGGTGACAGGGCCCAGGCCAGTGGATGAGAAGCAGTCGGCAGCTGAGCTAGACCTCGTCCTCCAACGACACCAGAATCTCCAGGAGAAACTGGCGGAGGAGATGCTCGGGCTCGCCCGGAGTCTCAAGACCAATACGCTGGCCGCTCAGAGCGTGATAAAGAAGGATAACCAGGTGCGGGGACTCTGGGGACCCTCCCACCACTGTCCTAGGGTCTCACAGAAGGCTTCCCAGCAGAGGGGCATTGTGGTTGGAGTTTTGGTGGATGGATAGGAGTCAGGTAGAAGACAAAAATGGCATTCCCAGTGGGGCACAGAGCACCAAGAGGTACATGCCTGGCTCAGGGCAGTAGAGAGAGGCTAGATGTGGTCCCCATCCTTTTGACATTCTCTCCACCCTATGCACACAGACCCTGTCACACTCTCTCAAAATGGCTGACCAGAACCTGGAGAAGCTGAAGACAGAGTCGGAACGACTGGAGCAGCACACACAGAAGTCGGTCAACTGGCTGCTCTGGGCCATGCTCATCATCGTCTGTTTTATCTTCATCAGCACGATTCTCTTCATCCGTATAATGCCCAAACGCAAATAAAGCCTGGCCTGGCCCACCTTGTCTGCCCTCTCTCTGACCCCTGCCCCAGAGTCCCCTTTGGGGTGAGCTACAAGGTGGGATCGTCTTGAGAGGTCTGTGGGAGCCACAGAGAGTGTGTGAGCAGGCGAGGGAGGTCAGTCCCCCCCACTAAGAACCACTCTTGGTGCCTGCCGCACGCCAGACAAGACTGGGCCCCGTGAGACCCTAGGGAGCCCCCAGTCTTGGAGAGTCATAGTCAGACATGATACTTTGAACCTTGTGGGGTTAGTGGGGCAGGAGTATGGGACAGGGTCCAGGGGACCGGGGGGGGTTGGGGAGAGTAGGGCTGTGCCTGGAGGTCTGCCTGGAGGAGAGGGCATCTGTGTGGGGCCCTCCTTGGGATTAAAGGTGGTAATTTAGAGAAAGAGTTCAGCCCAGCATCAGCCACAGCCTAAGCTCTCATTGTACCAGGTCCTTTACACAGTCAGCGAACACTCATGGGTCATGTCTAGTGCTGGGCACAGGGGCTCAGCAGAGATCCTCCCCTCCCCAGGTCATCATCTGACCATTTCAGAGGAGAACTGAGTGGGGACTGGAGTTGAACTGAAGAAGGAGGTCAGAGAATGTGGGAGTGGGGAGACTTGGGGGAAGGTTGGGAAGTGTGGGGGGCAGGGTTCATCCCACTTGCACTATAGATGTTGGGCACAGCCTGTGAGGCGAATGACGAAGGAAGCTTGGTGAGGCGGGTGGGCGTGCACCATGTTCATAGAGGTGTCTGACCCAGACCTGTGGGAGCGTGGGCAGGTCTTGTGGAGACAGGTACTTTTGATGGAGGTGACCCCATCAACAGGAGTGCAAATCCCTCAGGTAGAACTTTCTGAAAGCACCAGTGGCAGCTTCTTAAAAGTCAATCATAAGAAAGGAGGCTTGCACCTGCAGTACGGGGGTGTTTCAACATCAGGAAGTCTGTTAATAGAATTTAACACATAAATGCATCAGAGGAAAATATCCCAAGTGCTGAAATAGCATTTATACGGTTCGGCATCCATGACTCAAAGTTTTCTAATAAAAACAGAATATTGTAATTGTTAGCTGCCATCGAGTTGGCCCCAACTCATGGCGACCCCATGCACAATGGAATGAAACGCTGCCCAGTCCTGCACCATCCCCATGATTGATTGCAGCTTGGACCATCGGGATCCATAGGGTTTTCATGGGCTGATCTTCAGAAGTTGATTGCCAGGCCTTTCTTCTTAGTTCATCTGAGTCTGGAAGCTCCCCTGAAACCTGTTCAGCATTCTAGCAACAACTAAGCCTCCACTGATAGATGGGCGGTGGATGCACATGAGGTGCATTGGCTGGGAATCAAACCTAGGTCTCCTTCATATTGTTGTTAGGTGGCATCAAGTCAGTTCTGACTCATAGCGACCCTTTGCACAACGAAACAAAACACTGCCCGGTCCTGCGCCATCCTCACAATCGTTATGCTGGAGCCTATTGTTGCAGCCACTGTTGAATCCATTTGTTGAGGGTCTTCCTCTTTTCCGCTGACCCTCTACTTTACCAAGCATGATGTCCTTCTCCAGGGACTGGTCCCTCCTAATGACATGTCCAAAGTATGTGAGACTGTAGTCTTGCCATCCTTGCTTCTAAGGAGCGTTCTGGCTGTCCTTCTCCAGCACAGAAGGTGAGAATTCTACCACTGAGCCACCACTGCTCTTAGTTAAAAAAATAATAATAATAAAGGTGGGTATTTTCCTAACTTAACTGAGAAATATCAAGCCAACAGCAGCATTGACTTTAACAGGCAAATACTGAAGTTTGGCCGATGGTCCCCCATGCTCATGATTTAAGATTGTTCTGGAGGTACTCTTGTTGTTAGGTGCCGTCAAGTCACTTCCAACTCATAGCGACCCTATGTACAACAGAACAAAATGTTGCCCGGTACTGCATCATCCTCACAATCGTTGCTATATTTGAGTCCACTGTTTAGCCATTGTGTCAGTCCATCTTGTTGAAGGTCTTCCTCTTTTTCTCTGACCTTCTACCTGGAAGTACTAGTCAATGCAATTAGACAAGAAAAAGAAATGAGCTGTAAAAATGAGAAAAGAAACAAATTGAATAAAAAGCCATTTCAATAAGAGAATTCAGGAGCCTAGCAAGAACCATAATGGATATTTAAAAAATAATTTTATATATGAAGAAACCCTGCAAAATATATTGGGAGATGGCATTTATAACAGCAAAACAAAAGATACACTATCTTGTTAAACTAATTTCTTTGCTATATGAAGAACTCCTAAAAATTAATAAGAAAAAAAAAAAGGTTGGCAGAATATGAACAGGAAAAGAAGTACAAATCGTTTTTAAACTTTGTCACTCATCAGATTAGCCAGGATTTAAAACCTGAAAATACACTTGAGGGGAGTCTATGGGAACACTGGTGCTGGCAAGGTTGTGGGAAAACCAGCTTTCTCTCACTGCTGGTGGGAGCGTAAATGGTGCAACCTTGTTGAGGAAAAATTTGGCGATATCTTTTCAAATTTAAAATGCACAGTTTCCAGTCCCTGATGGAGCAGGGGAAAAGTGCGGAGCAGAACTCAAATTTACGTAAAAAGACCAGGCTTAATGGTCTGACTGAGACTGGAGGAACTCCCGAAACCATGGCCTCTGGATGCTCTGTTAACCCAGAACTAAAACCATTCCCGAAGCCCACTCTTCAGACAAAGATTAGACTGGATTATAAAACATAAAATAATACTCGTGAAGAGTGTGCTTCTTAGTTCAAGCAGATACATGAGACCAAATAGGTGGTTCCTGTCTGGAGGCAGGATGAGACGGCATGAAGTGTGCTGTCACATTATAGAGAATGCAACTACTGTCACACAATATGTGTATAAATTTTAGTATGAGAAATTAACTTGAGCTGTAAATTTTCACCTAAAACACAATAAAATAAAATGCACAAGTTCCTTTGCCCTGTGATGCCACTTCTAGGAATATATCCAACAGATACTCCTTCCTCATATGCCCAAAGAAATCTGTAAACAGATATTTTCTGCAGTATCATTTGTAGTGAGAAGAATATCTCTATTGCCATCGAATTAGGATGTCTCCGGAAGGAGACACAACTGCTGACAGCGCTGGGAAAGGGCTGGGTGTCTTTTCTAGTGTTTGAATTTTCTGCCTCCACTGATTATTATTATTATTTTTAATCCACTAATTATTTTTAAAAGTATTTTTAAAGTATAATTGTTGAGACCGTCCTGACAGGGAACACAACAGAGAGTCCCTGATGGAGCAGGAGAAAGGTGGGGTGCAGAACTCAAATTCTAGTTAAGAAGACCAGACTTAATGGTCTGAGACTGGAGGAACCCCAGAAAGCATGGCCCCTGGATTCTCTACCAGCCCAGAACTAAAAAATTTCTGAGGCCAACTCTTCAGACAGGGATTGGACTGGACTGTG